CAAAAAACCGCATTTGAAAAATACTATCTTAATCAAGTCTTTCTAGATTATATGTGCAATTTGCGGGCCTACCTTGCAATATGACCAAGGTAAGCTTGACGGCCATATCGTTTTTAACTGTAGGATTTTGGTTCCTTGTCTGTCTACTGACTAATTGTTATTCCGAGTTTAATAATAGTTCCCATTGTAGAGAGAGCATCAAATGGTTATAATGAATATGGTTACTCTGATTTACCTGTAAGTCGAGTGAGTCGAGCAAAAGGCTTAACCTTGATGTATCTGATTTTTTAGGACAATATTACGTATTCCGGTTCAAACAATACTCAAGGAGCCACAGCACTGCCAGCAACGCTGAAAATATCAAGCAAATTACGAAGCGCGATGGAAAGCAGTCGCACTCGACCAGCTTCTTTTGCCATATATAGTGCAAAAAGATGGAAAAGAATGCGTGACATAAATGATTGGTTAAAGAAATCCAAAACTCGGAAAAAACCAAAAACAACGAGGAAATCTACAGTAAAGCCAAGGAAACCATCTCAAAAGAAGACTCCGAAAAAATTTACGAAACTAAAAAAAGTAACGAAAAGACCTACAACAAAGCCGAAGACGACAACCACACCGACGACCACAAGGAGAACTACGACGAAGCCCACAACGACAACCACAACCACGACCACGACCACGACTACGACGAAGCCCACAACGACAACTACAACCACGACCACGACCACAACTACGACGAAGCCCACAACGACAACTACAACCACGACCACGACCACAACTACGACGAAGCCAACGACTAGAACGACGACCACCAGGACCACCAGAACACCAACCACCAGGAAGCCAACAACAACGTTAAGAACTACAGCAAAGGCGAAGCTCACTACGAGAGCAACAGCTATATCAACCATGCCCAGGGGGTCAACTACAAGCGTAGAATCAATCATGACATCAGGTGAAAATGGGAAGATAGCTGTGATTCCGAACGATCCTGCAACTAAAAAAAGGTATCGTTTGTTTTAACCATAAGTGCCCTTGAGAAGGAGCATATGGGTTCACGATCAAGAGACGAGGTTACTTACCACTCACTTTTTTCTTTGACCAGCCCTGTCCACTTATCTTGAAAATCTATTATTGATAGGTTATCGATATAAGAGTTTCAAGATAAGTAATTTACAACAGTTTTTTTTTACTTAACACACGACAATACGACCCACCGGTGGGTCGTATGTGTCCTGCCATTTCGGACAATACGACCCACTGGTGGGTCGTATGTGTCCTGCCATTTCGGACAATACGACCCACCGGTGGGCCGTATGCTTTCTGAAGTTTTTAATTTTGCTAATTCGCTGTGAAACTTTCTAGACAAACCAGTAAACTTCTGCAATCAACTCTTGGAGTACTTCCCAAAAGAGTACTTCAGATCACAGGGCCCATCGGTGATCTGAAAATATCAGCAAACTCAATTTTGCGAAATATGCTTTGGTCCGAAATGGCAGTCATCGAAGAATCGGCCTTGTCGTGAATGTGTTGAGCGTGATTTGTGCGAATCTAGTACGACGGAAAAAAATTTCTGTTTCTTTCAACCTACGATAGTTTATAGATGAGTAAATTGTTCTCTGCTACGCTTTACCCATAATAAAACTGTTCGACCTTAATTGTTTTTCCTAGGTGTTTCGCAGCAAGTCTATCTAACTTGAGCAAAATATTTCGCTTTGGAGTAGCTATCCAAGTCAGCTATGTATTTAGCTACTTTTTGTAGATTTGAACAAGAGCGTGCTGCTGTAAGGCTTCGTTGTCAGCCGTTTTTTTTTGCATCAGTCATCTTTCTATGTAATAAAAACATCAAAAAGGTGTGCTGATTTCACAAATCAGTAGCGCCCAGCATGTGATAACAACAGGAAAACGAATGAAGTATTGTGATTGTCATAGAACACTTATTACTTACATATCTCGTAGTCATCATAACATACTTATGGTTAACATTATTGAATTGTATTAGGTCGGGCCAAAAATTGGTGCCATTTTTATACCTGTACTCGAATCATCCGGAATAAAGATAAATAAGCGCTTTGAACAGTGGTCGACGTAAACTCTCTTCCTCTTTTTTAGCGGTGATTATTTGGTTGTAAATCCCTTCATGGTCTTTCAAATAGTCGTCGGGATCTTCAAGCCGTGATTCCTACCTACCCTAGTTGGTAATCTGTGATCTTCCTTCCAAACTTTTATGAGAGCCTTTATAACAAGGAATGAGCAAAGTGCAGCACAATGCATTCTATTAAACCTGCTTGGCAGTATTTTTTCAACGCTACCAAATTTCATGTTCGGGAATCCCAAATTTCTTATTGTTAGAACGCAAACGATGAGCATTTATTGTGTTATCGTGTGCAGCTTTTTCCTTTTTTTTCCAAAAGATTTTTTCTCTTTTTCTCTTTCGATTCGTGAAATGTGAAGGATGGAAATTATCGTAATTCCTGTTTGGAACGCGTCCTAATCTGTAATTGCAAATCTGCAAAATTCGAAGTCATTATTCCGAAGCTGTGTGCAGTCAGTCGCCTTGATGAATTAGCTTCACTCATAATCCATCCTTGAAAGTTTAAAATTTCGAAGTTTCTTTAGTGTTTGGAGCGTTTTTGTTTTTACGACATTGCAAAAGTGAAGATTTTCGGAAAAAAGCATTCTGAAAGAGCTGGAAAGCCAATTTGAGATACCCTAAAGTTTATCGTGTTGCATTTTGTTTATTCTATTTGAGTGTCATCAAAGCTCTTCCAAAAGAAAAGAAATTTTGAAAAATGGTCAAATTTAGGGTAAGCAAAACCATGGGTTTGAGATTCAGAGAGGAGGGGCAGTTGGAGTGGGTTATATTAAGTTATTTCAAAAGTAAACCCTTCTAAAATACATCAAGCTGGTATTATTTTTCTAGCAGACTTAGGCTACCATTCGACAGAGCAAAGCATTAGTCGTAATCCACCTAAAATTTAAGGCCAAAATCGAAATTTCTTAACCACTCCCAACGGATCTTTCATTTCATTTCATTTTCATTTTCATTAAATACGCTCAAGGCGTACCATAAAAAAAACAGAAACAAACACTGTAATTGTTAGTTTTACACAAAGCACGAATAACAACAGAACATCATATGCTTCAGGCCCAGACTTCATAAAACTAAAGAATAACGACTTAGCTTGCAAGAAGACTGCTGGATATTACGAATGTCAATGATGAGTTATATCCACAGAGATGGAACCCATGCCCCCGCGTTAGCCAGCAAACGATCTTAAAGTATTCAAACAAGCAAACGACGGCGGGTACATACCCACCGGCCTGCCGGGGTGAGCCCAAAACTCCATGAGCATTGCCATATGTGCAAAACAGAATATCGTCAAGTACTGCACAACGAATGAATCTAAACAAATTGTTATCTAAGGAGATGGTACCCATGCCCCTTCGTTTGCTAGCCACGATCTCAAAAAATTTCCAAGAAACAAACCGGAATTTATAGTTCAACCAGTTTGCCGAGGAGAGCCCAACTCCAAAGCAAGAATAAGCATAATATAATCTTCAAGCAATCAAAGCAAGCAAGTTGTGCGAAATAGGCTAAAATATAGATGTGACCAGGCTTGAACCACATAATGAAGAGAACAGTGTTAGTAAAAGGCTCAGAAGCAGTTGAGTTCAACATATGCAAAGTTATAAATTGGCTGCTAGTCAGTGCATATTCGTAACCCAACATTGCACATGTCTGGTTGTAACCGCGCAGTCATAAAAGAAGGGAAGTAAGGTACGTTGAACCTGCAAAAAAGTCATTCAATCTTCTTTTTTTAAGCTCTCTTCTGAAAGAGGAACTATCACTGCATGCCAAAAGTTCGTGTGGTAATTCTTGTAACATTTTTGATGTGCGAACAAAAAACTCCTGCTCAAATAAGGAACGAAATCGTTGTCGCCCACCAAAGTGACGGAAATAAATAGAGAATGCACTAGTCCTTCCATGGCTAGGTCTGAAAACCCAGTACTTGGAAGGCCTCAACCTGGTTTCACCGCTAAAAATCCTGAAAGCTAATATGATATCATGAACAACTCTCCGATATGTAATGCTTTCAAGATCAAGAATTTTCAATCTCTCTTCATAACTAGGAAGTAATCGGGGGTAAGCTGGATTAGAAAAAACAGCGGTAGAAAAGCAGTTTTGTGAACACTTTTTGAACCTTCTCCAATGCCTGCTTGTGCTTCCTCTTCTTTCTTTTTTCCACAACATTCAAATTTTTTGCCAGCAAAATCTTTTTGATTTCATCTCTAAACTTCATCTGGATCACAATATTGGTGATTCTTTGCTCCGCTCTATCGATTGATAACCCAGATTTGCTGGGTGAACAAGAATAACAAAAATACTTTGATTTATTTGAAAAATGACTTTACGTTCGAGATAACCTATTACAAAAATTTAGGGAAGTGCGATTTTGTGCCAATGTTTTTCTTCAACATGCTCAAAGCAGAAAAGAGATTTTTGAATCTCCATTATACCTTATGCTCCAGCCAGATCGGCTGCTGGAAGTGGGTGCTTCATGACCTACGAGGCAACTGCAGGCGTCCACGGCGCGGCCTGCTCCTCCTTCATGCGTTATGATCACATTCTAGCCTTAATTATGTCACAGAGCCCCGCCTTCCAGCCGCCGATCTGGTAGATGCAAAGGGTATGTAGCTCTATAACTTGCACCCCTCCCTGGTGGCGATGATGCGTGATGTCTTACGAATGTTCATTATTCCGTACAAAATTCAGAGAAAAAAGCTTGCGCAAGGCAGCGTCTCATAATTTTGTAGCGCTGTTTGTGAAAAAAAACATGACAATGTAAGCAGACATGGTACTCGTTTGCTTTTGTTGAAAGCCAAACAGGGTTTACACCGCAACGTACGGAACTAGATAGAGAATGATTACGAGACAAAAACCGATGTGCTAATCACTATCAAACTTTGCAAAGTATTTTGGTCATTTGGTATAGATGTTGATGTGCTTGGCATATGTTACCACTTTTAGACTAATTCCTCCCCCATTCCATGAAGTCGAAAAATCACCAGAAGCAGAAGAGGAGGGATTTCCTAAGCTGTGAGTTTCGAACTAGTTTGATAGATAAGATAGTGAGTCACATTATAGGTCTTTAAATATTTTCTTCGTTCATCCAGCTAAGGAAGTAGTCTAGGTCACCGTGGCCTTTTTATAGATGTATATGGTAATAAAGTGTTGGTCAAAATCATAGGTCTATGTTAAACTCGGTTGGGCAAGAGGCAGCAAAGGTTCGCCGCTTCTGCTTATGAACTTCCGTAAAGAGCTTCAGAATTTCTCGTGCCTCTAATTCTTTGCGTTCGCAACTGTTGATATGAAGTGAGTATAGTTGTTCATGGACTTCCTAGCGTGGTAGAATGCGTGATATAGTTTCCACCAGGCTTCACCTTTGCTTCGCAGAGGCTCGCACTGGTTGAAAGTGTTAAAGTGAAGTTATGCTCTAATAGTTTGTTTCTCACTTCACTTTAAAGTTGTTTGAAGCGACAGACTCCTTGGTTGAAATTGATCCACCCTCGTTATTGCATATCATATGCTTAAAGTACTGTAGATCATTCCTGAATGTAATTTCGTAACGGACAAACTCCACACAGCTTCAAATTAAGCGGCTTGTCATAAATCATGATGTTTAAGAGACATAGCAGACGAAATGATGAGTTGTAAAAAAAGCCTCATAGGGATTAGGCTCATTTAACATCAAAAGCGATTTAGAAAGTCAGATTATGAACTTGATTTGGGAGTCTATAGCATCTTCGAAACTCGATTAAATTCTGTTTTAGAACTTACAAATCAGTGTGAACCCATTAAAAACCCAAAACACACTTCTTTCCATTTGTGGCAAACTTACCCTTTCTGCTCCACAAAAATTTGATCCAATCGCCCTGAAACCGATGTAGACTGATTTAAAGGAGTTGCAGGCTCCAAATTGATCCAAAGTAAAACCCTCTTCTAGGAGATTACTGGGTACTTTTCCATTATCCGGACCCATTTTTCCAACTTACCATAATACGTTTAAGTTTAAGAATAATTTTTCATAGATTCTACGAAGGCTGCCTCCCCCGCCAGTGTCAAGAAAACATTGACACGTTTTAGTCAGTCTTTACTTGTTCTTTCGAAATAGTTTCCGGTAAAGTAAATGAGGATTTGTGCCACCTAAAAGCTTTTCAACTGTTTTCTATGCAAGCAAAGTTGTCTAGTATCGCAAAACATCTTGGTTGCTTTCAGCAAAGGTTTAAAATTGTCTTCCTCTTCGAACTTTCCGCCATGCGAATTTAGCCAGGAGAGGCTGCAAATGCTTGCAGTATCTCGCTGCTGCTTGTTTCGCCGCTAGGATAATGGTCCTAGCGCCCCTTCTCCATTCTGTGCAGGTCTAATTTGTTCAATAGTAACAGGATGACGTTATTATCATGACAATGTTCATTTCCAAAATTATTTAGTTGAAAATGGCATCATTATTCAAAAACTGACTGAACTTACGTCCTTAGGTAGTGCAACACAAACCCTCGATGAAACCTGTTAAACATGTAGATGAGATGTCGAATTTTTCTTGGCACGTGGCAGAAGGTTGAACTCCTTCCTGTGAATTTGGGACGGTATATGGTACAAGGTCAGAAAAAGTACTTTTTTGAAAAAGTGGGTCCGAATAATGGAAAAGTACCTATTACTGTTTGATTTTCCATAATCATCAATGAAAAGGTGACTGCCTTCTGCCTGACGTCCGCCCAAAAACGCCGTAGCTCACTCGGTTGTCAATGAGTTTGATACAGGTGGACGTGCCAGCCATCTGTCGCTTTGCTAACCAGTGGCCGCATTCATTAACAAACCCAATGGGTTTCGCTACTAGGCTTAACCCCAAGATTGGTATTCACAAAGTGGGTAGTGAAACCCAGAATGGGTTTCGCTTCCGTTCAATCATCAAAAAAAATTCTTAAAAAGGAGGTTTGAAGTTCTCGCCAATTATAGGTGCAACCAAAGTTTTTATCCAACATAAAACTTTTCGGCTTTTGAATTGATGCGAATACGAAACCAAAACCTTGGATTATAATTATGGTCGAGGTATGTTACAAAAAATTTAGAAACTATTTTGGAACGGTCAACACCTCGTCAAGCTACGTAACTTTCTAAAAAGGAAGCTGTGATTTTGTGAAATCCGTAGTTTTATCGTGCAGATTTCTATTTGTATAAAGAATGCTTCTTTTTATCTTGAGCTTACAATGAGAGCGCAAAAAGAGTTTAAGAGAAAGAATTTGAGCTCAGGCCGGCCTGCTTTTAGTATATAGTAATGGCAATCCCAGTGTCACCCGAGGAACTTTTAGTTAGCTTGCCAGCAAATAATGTGTGCTCACTGTTCACTCTTCTCCCTTTTTTCGTGACATGCGCTTTGTAAAAAAATCGCCGCACTACCCCCAACTAATTGAAATGAGCTTCAGAACAACTGCTTACATATCTATGGGAAAAAGCTTGGTCATGACATAAAGGTTTCATTCTCCTGAATATGCGTAAGGAATCTGACGATACGACACAGCTCGACAAAACAGCTCAACACGTTCGCTACGTTATCACCTAAAAAACTGTCAAAGCTAAGAGATACTGTGGTGGGTAAATTTCAGGTGGACGTATAATTTGGTCAGCCTTCGAGCCTGCTTTGGTATAAGATTTTTGATTTTTTTGGAATCAAACGAAAGCGAGATCCGTTTTGATACTTTCAGTAGGCGGGCATACATATCGTTGTACCAGTTCTAGATCAATTCATTGACAACTGAACGAGGAGAGTTATGGCAATTTTTGGTACCCTATACATCCCGCAACGCTGTATCTTAAAACGCGAATCTGCAATCTGCAAAGCCATTTCGAAGGGAGCTTCGAAAATTTCACGCGATAAGATTTTCACGGAAAATTTAAAAAAACAGAGGTTAGAAATAGGCATTGCAAAATTTTTGTTCTGATGTCTGCTGAGTCGACTTTAGCCTAAATGCAGAGGTGTACACGGATGTTGCTCCTAGCACAAAGTATGACTTTAGCGATGACTTTGATTATCTAGTGTCAGACAACTTCCGTTAACGTTATCCTCCAGGAACTGTTTTTTTCATATATATATTTTATGAAGGCCACGGTTGCTTTGAGAACTTCCTGGCTATGCAGTGGCAATTAGTCTTCAGAAAATCACTTTCAGACTTTTTATTCTGCCGGGACTAGCATTGCTTATTTCCATGATAGCTGTCATAGTCTATTTGTACATACGTCGCAAAAGAGAGACTGGAAAAAAGAAAACATCAAGAACAAAGCGTTGGTTAAAACGCAAGGTGATTGAGACAAACATATTTACTCTTTAGCAAGCACCTACAGAAGAAAAAGGACTGGTAAAAAAGAGAACAAAACTGTATTTAAAGCTATCAGCACCATGATTCAATTGGTAAGTCTAAAACAATAATGTGAACATTCAAATCACGAGTCGTTGTTGCGATGAAATTTCTCATAAACAAAAGTGCTTGTCGAAATGTGTAATACTGAGTTACTGCTCTATTCAAATGTCCTAAAAAACCGTTAAATAATAAAATCACCAGCACGATATCCCCGCATACTCGCAAGTGATGCGGTTTTAGGAAAAGGTCTTAAAAAAATTTTTATTACCTAAGTGAAGCGAACCTACCATCAGATTCTGTGAAACCCTTTTATTGGAGAAATTGTAAGCGTTGTTTTTCGTGCAGAGCTTCGCTTAAAGTATACTCTAGTAAGTTCAAATGGTCATTGACGTTATGACCCGTAGTAACCCTACGCAACTCGCCTCAGTCCGACATTCGGTAAGCTGTTCATCTGTATCGTTTTACGTTTCTAAAAAGAAGCATATATACCGTTTGAGCAGTTTGTTCGAGAGAGTGAGTCATTGCTACTAAGGCTGGGTTCATACTGATTCCCATGTTCTGGAATTTCCCGCACTGTGCTGGAACAGTGCGAGAACAGTTTCGGAACTGCGCTGCATGCGCTGCAGCCGCCCCGCACCTTTTTGAACGGCGGGAGTGAGAATTTTGACCGTACTTAACGGTTTTTCTTTCAGATTTCTCCCATTTTGGCCTTATTCGTCCACCCCGCTTCCCTTTTTGACAAGCAGAACTTCGAACTCGAAGCGGGGTTGAAGAATGAGAGCTTTGCTGCTCTGCGTACACGAAAAAACGTGTGTTCTTGTGCTCGTCCGTTCTCTCTTCACTATTTTTGCTCAAAATTACTTCATTTGTTCTAGAAAGGCCGCTGCGTAGTTTCCATAGCCATCTGCAACAAATTAGAGCGTAGGAGCAATTCTGAAATTGCATGCATTGAGAGTTGTCTCTTGTTTCTGATGAGTTTCGTCTTCGGGCCTTCTCAGCCCTTTTCCTTTATCCATATCGTTGCTTCTCCGTTCTTTCTTCTACTCCGCTTCTCCGTATGATGAAAGCTGCGAACTTGAAGCGGAGTTGCGTACTGAACGATATTTTGCTTCATGTGTTCGGGAAGATGGGCCTTCGTGCGCTCGTCTATCTTCCCTTCCATTTTGTTCAGGCCTATTCATGTATTCTACAGACCTGTCTATATCAATTTCAATACAGATGCGAGACTATGCACCGCCTTCCTAGAACATATGAAGTAGATCTGAACAGAAATAGCGAAGAGAAAATGGACGAGCATAAGAATACTCGTTTTGTCGCATACGCAGAGCAGAAAGGCCCTCATTCTTCAATCCCGCTTCGAGTTCGAAGTTCTGCTGGTCAAAAAGGGAAGCGGGGTGGAGGATCAAGTCCAAAATAAGAGAAATCTGAAAGAAAAACCGTTGAGAAAGGTCAAAATCCTTTAGCTCCCGCCGTTCAAAACAGTGCGGGGCGGCTGCAGCGCATGCAGCACAGTTCCGAAACTGTTCCCGCACAGTTCCAACATAGTGAGAGAACTGTGCGGGAACAGTTCCAGAACATGGGAATCAGTATGAACCCAGCCTAAGCTTGCACGACCATGGTTCGAGGCCGGCTAATGACGAACTTTTGCTGTATTGCCGAGCAAGCTTTGAAGACGGCCACTATCGATAAACCTCGATGTGAATAAAAGAAAAACAGATTTTCTAGCGAAAACTTTATCAAAATGAGAAAACTGGGAGATAAATCTAAGGAATTAAGTGGAGAAGTTCTCGTTTAAGCGACTCTTTGAAATAATTCAAGCAAACACTGTAGGCAAAAAAGGAAAAACCTACTTTCTTGTTTTTCCCGTTTAAATCAGCTGTTCATTACTCCTTCGAACCTCTGAGCCCCGGTTTTCTGCAGTTCTATCGTCGACTCTAAAAATCGTGACGACGGTCTGCAGTGCGGTCAGTGCGCGCCGCACGGCACTGCCGCCTAGTGATTCGCCCAAATTACGTGGAGAAGGTGAGTTCTTGTGGTTTTTCTTTTTCTTTTTGCATCTTTTTTGCTTGCAGGAACTTTCATGGCTACCGCAGGGAGTCTACACTGCAGAGAAGCAAGATTGCCCTACGATAAAGCGGCAGTGCCGTGCGGCGCGCACTGGCCGCACTGCAGACCGTCGTCACGATTTTTAGAGTCGACGATACGCGTTCTTGTACCGCAACAAGCCCTTATCTATATTTTCCCATAAGTTACTCACGAGCAACTTACGGGAGTTTTGTCTGAATCTCCTCTTTTGCACTATCTCCCTCGGTTCACCATAGAATTTACCTTCACCGTGATGGCATTCCGTTGAACTGACAGCATTAGACCAGTTGGTTGTCTACCGGCTGTTTGTGACCATCTTATAGCGGAAAGGTGGGTGGTCTTAGGGTTAACTCAGGAAGTTCTTCTGAGTGGCTCATGACATATATATAAATTCTGAATCTGCTTCAAACACTGATTCCAAATATGCTATTCCTAGCTGCCACGCACTATTTCGAAGCGAGTTATGAGCTTTTTACTACGCAAAATTGGCATACTACTGAACATGAGAATACTGCCTGTAGATAAAAATCTGCAAGAAAAAAGGTGCTGAGGTATCGAAATAGTACAAATCCAATCTTTGCTCACTAAAGAAGCCCAACGCAGGTGCATCAGCACTTAAATGATGATGACGTGATGCCGTGAGTTAATGAGCGTGCCAATGTTGCGCAAAAAGCCCATAACTCGCTGCGGAATGGTGCGTGGCAGCTAGGAATAGCATATTTGGAATCAGCGCTTGAATTTATAAGCTCCTGCAAGACGAAGGCGGTTGGTTCGAGGCGCGACGTGGCTGTGACGCGGCTGTGACGCTGCTGTGACGCAGCTATGTCGCAACCGCGTTGCACATCGAACCAACCGCCTTCGTCTTGCAGGAGCTTATAATTCAGAGTATATATGTCACTTGCCAAAAGGCTCAGCTAAGTTAAGTAGCTTCTTTGTGAGATGAATGCAGTTTACTGCGGACCTATTTTCGTTACTCATTGCCGTTCCCATCCAAAATTTCGGCCTCAGATGAGCTCTTATAAGGTTCTATGCCTGTGCCACTGACTCAGTTATGAGGTTGATAAAGCAGCGCATATTCAACGATTTGCATCTTCCAGCCTCGCATGATTAAAGAGCGAGGTTAAGGACGGCAAAGATTAACATTGCGTGCAGAGAACACATATGATTATTCGATATGACAAGACTGTCTGTTCTTTACGCAAAGCATTAGTGCATAGATGGATAGTGGCGGGTGTACTGCTATGCAAACGGAATGTTACGGTTTAGGATTTATCTGAAATGTGCCCTGTGCGTAGAAAGATACGAAAGTCAAAAGTTATTGGCGATTGGGCATGCACAAGTTTTTGTTTACATGTAAACAAAGACGAGAAAACTGTTGCTCGGCATTTCTGCATTATTTTGATTCTTTCTGCAAGTTTGCACGAAACGCTTCCGAAATCTCTTACCTAGTATTTGTTCCTAAAAGTTTGTTTTCTTTATTGCTGAGATTGAGCGACGTGGCACTCTAAGGGCCGACGCATTAACATCCCCGTCGAGGAATGGATCGCCGCTTCAAAGAAAAGCTTCATATGCTAAGGCTCCAGATATCTGTATTTCACGCTGTCTACCTATCCGTAAGCACTTCCCACCTCCTTCACTATGAACATCTTGAACGGGAGCAAGAAGCTGCACAAACCGCATTTTCCAACTTTTTGAGTGATTCTCTGATGAATCATAGAGAATGCGACATTCTCTATGCGACATCAAATGATATTCAGCTTGTTTGGATTGGCCATTTGACTAACCATTCCCATGTCACAAAAGTACGTTGAGCACTAGAAACGCACACATGCAACATTTTTTGCAGAATCATACGTGATTTTGCATACACCTAAGCACTGGCGTTGAATTTTGTTTCTCTCTCGTAAAGCTGTAGCATTCTGGATTGCCCATACGAAGTTGAAACGACTTCCCGCATTTCGATTTGTTATGTTTAGAAACCGAAGAAAATGAAATCAGCCGATATTGACTACAGACATACAAAACAAGCTGCGTTAGTTATGCAAGCTGACTACAAAGGAGATGTTGTGAGTACTGTTGTCCTAGTCTACATATCTTAGTCATAGCATGTGAATGCTGCTGTCCTGCAAACCGTTTAATCTTAATGATCAGTTTATTTGGCACATAAATTTCGGAAAAAAGAAAATAATCTTTATAAAATTCACCTATATTTGAGAAAGTTTCAGAAACATGAACTAGATGACGAACAATCGCAAGCTATATCTCATATAACATTCGACCCTGGTCAGAACTCTATAGCATACATAGGATCGCAAGTTGAACAGCTAGTAGGGGTTAGTTTGCAAGGTCCATTACACTACAACATGCTAAAATCCTTGAATGTAGTGCACCTTTTGAAAATGTTCATTTCAGGCATCACAGATGACAAGGTTAAGTAGCGCTGAAAAAACAACTTCACAGGTATATTGTTATTTCAGTATGAGACAGTGTTAGGTTGGCTCAAAAACAATCACGCCCCAGCGCTACCGAGTTAGAGCAAATCTGCTAAGATGATTGGTCCACTATTTAATGGATCAAGAAACATTTACAAGGCGATTACAAGTACCCGTACAAGTCGTTATCCAAGTAAAACTTGATGTTAAGTCCTAAAGACTAAACACTCCAAAAATCGGAACCTCACTCAGAAGTTCTACGAAGTTTCTGATTGGTCACAGTTATAATACACTCGCGGTAATTCATTTCGTGGTAGGAAAATAAGAAATGAAGTTAGCAGGCCTTGCCAAAGTAATTCTGGTTTGTTCCCATATATAACCTTTGCTGAAATCCTCTGGAAGACCAGCAACAACGATTTTCAGCCTTTTACAAGCGCTGGTCTCGATATCGAGTTCAAAGTCTTTGAGAATATGAATTTTCCGTGTATTCGACCTAACTTTATTTTTCCTCTTGCCGCAAAGAAAGGTGGCATTGCATTTACCAATGTTATACGACCGCCAAGCTGAAGATTCGCAGAAATTCTTCAGTCGAAGGTCCCAGTTTCAAAACGCTCGCTTACTTTGAATTTTGGCTTCAAAAAAAAAACGCGTCCTCTGTTGCGTTTGTCTAGAAGTCTTCTTCTAAAACTTCCTTTGTTCTAACCATAAATTCTTCAAAGTTTTTGTTGTGACCCCGATTTTAGAAAAAAGGGGCATGGCGGCAACCACGCCCCGAAAAATCTTTTTCACAAGGCTAATTTGTATCTTTGAAATTTTTTGAAATTTATTTCAATTATTAAGTAAAAATAAGTCGCTTGCACATTTTTATAACACATTTAAGTAACTTTCATAAATTTCGTGAATCTTTCTCGAGGAGCCCTCCCCGCCCCCTCCCGGTACGCCATTGCTGAGCAGATGTGGAAAATTGTTAAAATTAGCTCTCAAAGACCTTTGATCAATATCATCTGATTGAAAAAGTTTGTTTCGAGTCGAATTCCGGCACCGGGAGAATGAGTCCAAAAACATATGTGAGACAAGATATGGTATTTGAATTTTTGTGCATATTTGATTCAATCCAGTAAAGTTCAAAGTCAAAATCTATTAGGTTGTCCCATAAGTCTTTTCATTTTTGAGTTTTCGCTGTGATAAGTCATACATTTCCAATTCAAAATAGACATTAGGATGCCATTCGAAAGAGCAAAGCAAGGTCTATAAGATGGCTTTATGCTTTTGCACAAGCTTTGATCCATCTTGAGTTTTATACCAAAATCTCTAAAAAGTTTCGGATGCAGAGAAAACCGAGAATTTTTCATATCTTCGTTTGAAAAAATCCTACAAACCTCTAACTCGTTCACGCATATACATTCCACATGAGACATTCATATGTGCTGTTGCCGTATACATCAGCTAGAAATCCAAGAAACCGAAAATTTCCATGTTTTTATCAAAGTGATGTTGTGCTGTTAACACACTAATAGTTGTATATTAGAAGTCCCTAGAAATACTACCGTAGACTTTTGGCTCTTTACATGCTCTGGTTCACGAGAAATATCAAACTCAACTTTCTTCACTCGTGTTTTTCACGCTTAAATCAACACATCTCGGAAACCAGAGCATACAGAGAGCCAAAAATCTACGGTAACACTTCTAAGGGCTTCTAGTATACAACTGTTGGTGTAAAAACAGCACAGCATCACTTTGGTAAAAACATGGAAATTTTCGGTTTCTTGATTTCTCGCCGATGAAAAAAATGCGGCAACAGCACATGTGAATGTCTGACGTGCAATGTATATGCGTGAGCGAGTTAGAGGTCTGTCGGATTTTTTTAAACGGAGATATGAAAATTTCTCGGTTTTCTGGGCATCCCAAACTTTTTAGATTTTGGTTTAAACTCGCGATGGGCCAAAGCTTGTGCAAAAGCGTAAACGCCATCTTATAGATCTTGCTTTGCTCTTTCGAATGGTATCCTAATGTCTAATTAGCATAAGAAGTGTGTGACTTAGACTGTGACTATAGCGAAAACTCAGAAATGAAAAGACTTATGGGACAACCTAATACTTGTTTGCCCGAAAAATTGGAACAAACTGAATGTCCGTTACAACTAAAAATCACCCCTCCACACTATGCTTTCGGCATGAGGCGGTTCATGAATAACGTCGGTACAATCTAAATTAGAGAATGAAGTAGTCATGCTTTTGATGAGCAATGCGATTATTCTCGCTTTGGTTTTCTGTGTCACGTACCTTGGATGTGCAACCGAAAATTTCTAGCCTTCTACTTGAAAAAATTGCAGAATACTCGCAAAATTCAAGGCCCAAGAGACATATGGATCCGTTGAGCACAATCTTCAAAAATCTGCTTATAAGTTGAGCTCGTTTTTGTGCAAGGTTTATTTACGCGCGAGTAGCGTGCAACGCAAGATTGCTTCACGGGAGTTCACTAAATCGTTTTAAGAATTTCGTGAAAGATAGACATAGTTTCAGCACCTTATCGTAGTAATATTCTGTATAGGAGCCTGTTAAGAAGACTCGATCAGAAGAAGGAACAAGTGCAACGAAAACAAATAAGATGAAAAATTATGCAAGAAAAGGTGCTTCAGCAGAAGTTCTCAAAATCAAAGGAATTAAACGTTAAAGCCGATATATAGTGAACGTTCTAAAGCACAAATGCTACGTTCTACTGAAGTGATTACGTTTCATTCTTCTTGTTTTATCACCAAATCTGTACACAAGATTAGGTAATATCTCAACATGCTTTCTATTTGAAATGTTTCCGAGAGACTATCAATAAATTAATTTTGATTAATTTTTTGTGTCATGATAGGTTTTTAAGAACTAATATCTTTAGGGAATATGCAAGTGGACGACACTTTGACAAAGAGTGCTTTTTTATTGGTCAGAACAATATTTTTGTGATTTTGCAACGATCTGAGATAGATCCGCTGCTATATACAGGGTGTCCCAAAAAAATGTATCGAACGTTTGATCGTTGATATCTTTCTTCCCAAGAAGTCTTTTGCCTTGCTTCAAGTACCGTTTTGTAGAGCTGGTTTCAACTTAGATTTGCATTACAGAACGAATCACCCATCCCCCTTCATTACTGTAGGATTACGGTAGAAACTTGAAACATATGGTGTCAATGTGGGAAAAGCTGCAGTTTCATAATTTTTCAAAAAAATGTCAAAACTTGTGTAATAGGGTTTTTATGGACGCTGAGTTTAATACTCAACTAATCACGAGATTACGAAGCCTTCTAAACGGTGTAACCGCACTTTTTAGGAACATTAAAAAAATGGCCGCTACCTCTTACCCGGCATAACTCTTCAATGAAGCATCATAATAAGTTGGACACTTTACAGTTATAATCAGCAACTCTAATTAGCCTATTGTAAAAGTTTTGAAGCTGTTTTGTTTCCTTTCTGAGGCGAAATATGGTCTTTCACTGCTTAAAACCCTCCTTGAAATTTCTACCGTAATCCTACAGTAATGAAGAGAGATGAGTGATTCGTTCTATAATGCAAATCTAAGTTGAAGCCAGCTCTACAAAACGGTACCTGAAGCAAGGGAAAAGACTTCTTCAGAAGAGAGATATTAACGATCAAACGTTCGATACATTTTTTTGGGACACCTTGTATAACCAATGCGTCACCTCCGCTTCGCGGAGGTTCCCACTGGCTCTCCTATCCGTATGCCCTTCTCATGTTCGCATAATGATGACTTTGAGACTCACCACACCATATTAAACATCACGAATGAATTGTAAACAACTGTTCATTTTTGGAGCATCTCCACGTAAGATCGGTAATTTTGAGGGAGAAAACTTCTTCGCAAAGAAAAACCTGCGAATTTGAATGGATTACTGAAATTGTTTTGGCTTGGTAGTCGTCATATTATAAATCTTTTTAAAACTCAAGTTAAAACCTTGCCAAATCGACTTTCTATGCGATCACTACTTTTTGGCGCTGTTTTCGCAGAAAAGCAAACTTTTTGAGCACTTTTGGGCTAGATTTCATGGGGAGCAGATTTACTCGTCAGGCAAATTATGGCCTTGCAAGAAATCCAAGTCTGATCTCAGTTTTGCAGCCCACAGCCGTGTGAATCGTTTGATGCGCAGTTTTTTTTAGTATCAATCGGATCCACACGGAATTTTGCATGATTGACCTAGATGCTAGCAAGGTGCTATATCCAAATTCTCATCTTAAGACATTTGCTGGAACTCGCTCTATGAATTTCGTGACAGACAGATGTTCAAACAGACAGACACACAAAAATACGCAAACACTCTTAGCACGTTATTATCCTACTATACTAACGCGCTAAGGCCGTCTGTTTTTTTTTGTTTATCTGTGTGAAAATCTGTCTGTCACAAAATTCATAGAGGAAGCTGCAGTTAAGCTATCGAGCTGCAGTTCTGCATAACATACCGCGCTAGCGTGTAGGCCCACTATGCACAAGGACAAGCCGGTTCGATAAGCGGGTCTCTCAAAATTTGCGCGTTAAACGGGTCCACGCGCCTTTCGGCAGCAAAACTGGGTCGTTAATTAGACTTTTTGCAAAGTTATGATTTGCCTGACAAGTAACTCTGCGCGCCATGAATTCTAGCCCAAAATGTGCTCAAAAAGTTTGCTTTTTTGCGAAAACAGCGCCAAAAAGTGATAAACGCGTAGATAATCGATTTGGCAAGGTTTTATTTTGAAAACTGAAAAGATGTTTGCATTATAATATAGCCCAAAATGACTATTATCCTTATGGCGATTATCGATCTAAAATAAATTCAGTAATCCGTTCAAAATCGCATTTGTTTCCTTGCGAAAAAGTCTTTTTTCTCAAAAACACCGATCTTACATGGAGATGCTTCAGGAATGAACAGTTGTTTACGATTCATTTGTGATGCTCAGCATTGCGTGGTAAGTTTGAAACTCATTCTCATGCGAACATGAGAAAGGTATACGGATAGGAGAGCCAGTGCGAACCTCCGCGAAGCGGAGGTGACACACTGGTAGTAGGATATAGTACCAGTGCTTCACTTCTGTTTCGCAGAGGCTCCCACTGGCTTTACTGTCTAGGCTCTACTTATTCTCGCATAATGATGGAAAACTCAAGCAATGCCGAGTATCACGAACAAAATGCAAACAACTACTCATTCCGAACGCTTTTTCATGTGAAATTGGTCATTTCGCGTGGATGGAACTTTTTGCAGGAGAACAAACGCAAATATTCAACGGTTTTTGATTTTCCCATGGTATTAACTGCTATAAGAACAGTAGTCACCGCGAGCTACATTTTTGTGCAAAAATCTTGTCAAATGCTCTGGTAAATCTTGGCAAGTTGGCTTTACGCAACCAAGACTTTCTGGGTTTTTTTGTAAAGTAATGGACTTTTGATGACTTTTTCTGGGCCACAGCTCATGGCTTGCACATTTATTTGCCAATTGCCACATCCACCACTCTGCAAAACGTGGAATTACGGACCCAGTTTTGTAGGCCAAGTGCAAAGTGGATCGGTTTGACGCGCAATTTCTAGAAGACCCATTCAACGAATCTGCTTGTGCCTTTGCATGATGGACTTTCATGCCAGTAGCAAGTGCTATGCAAAATTTGAGCTCCTTTGGCTGTTCGTAGACAGATATTCAGAGAGAACACACACAAAAACACGTGAACACTCTTAGCGCGTTATTATAGTAGGATACTGTCAAATAAATGTGCCTGTTGGTTGATTATGAATAACTCTTGAGGAGTCTTTCGAAATGCTTTAGGTGCATTTTGTAAAGCTGGCTTCAACTTAGACTTACAGTATGGAGCGAAGTCGTTCCCTCTTTATTACTGCACGAGCTATATGGAGGGTTTTCTACCGGATCAAATTTTACCCCTGCGACAAACTAAAAAAGCTGAAAACTCCTACACTAGGATAGTCAGAGTCGCTGATTTCAAAAAATTCGCACTTCACAGTAACAAATTTCTCTATGTTGTACCAGATATACCGTAACAACCGATTTCTGATACTCGTTAATAACTTTGTTACACCTTTTGTAGAGCTCTGCAAAAGCGCAAAAGGGTATATAGCAAAATAACCGCACATGAAAACATTGTCACACAATTTTGCAATTTTTTTGGTTTTTTTCTTTCACTTTTTCTTTCACTCATTCTTTTCTTTTTCTTTTACTTCTACCACTACGACCACGACTTACACCGCTACGACTACTACTCCTCCCACCTCGATTACCACTTCTATTACCAACTACAACTTCTCCCATCACAAGTACAACTGGTTCCACCACGACTTTGATTGGCCATGTAACCATCGTGATACCACATCTACTACTCCTGACACGACTACTACACCTTACACTACTACTAGTATGAGCAGGTACTACCACTACAAGCACATCATCTACATCAACTTCTACATCTGCTCCAACCACGTCTAATACTACATTTGTCTCAGATAAAGAATGTGAGTATAGTTTTTTTGGCTCAATAGTATTCTTTAATATGTCCATTTTGAGCATATTATCGATTATATCGATGTTTAAAAGTAGCGACAACTATTGTGTTGAAGGAACCTGAAGGTGCATCTGATAGAAAAGTGCGATGATTGATTTGCTGTGCAGTATGTTCTTGAAATGGACAAAACTCCACTTAATGATAGCCAGTTTTTGCCAACACCGTAACCCTATTCTGTGAACCCTATGAATATTTCTGTATTTGCAGATCTCTGAGGTTACAGCGAGGAATACAAGTCAAGTCATCTTCATCATCCACTTCCTCATCCACTTCATCATCGACATTGTCATCAGCATCGACATCCACATCCACCTTGACTTCATCCTCCACGACTTTGACCACATGTGCGACACCAGCAGCTGATCATGAACAAATTCCCTACAGATGTTATGTAAATTCTTGAGAAAAGCAGGTTAGTATATTTTTTGTTAGCTGTTATGGTGAAGAGTCGTAAATCCGAAAATCATTCAAACTTTGATTTTTTTGGGACTATGCAGTCGACTCAGAGGTTCCAAGAAAACATCAACATCAACAAGCACCACATTACCAAGCACTACATCAACAACTCCTACAGGAGCTTTCAAACTGAGTGTCACTCGACGTGGTTCAACTCCTCGCGAGCCGCCTCGCCTGGATCTCTCACGTGGCACAATACCGCACCCGATGCCGCGAAAGCCTTAGGCCCCGGGCAGACTTCACGCGATTTGATCGTCGCGACTGAGTCGCGACGAGACAACTGTTACAAGATCATTCCATGCCGATCAACTTGCATCCGGTCGTGATACTTTTCCAGCCCGAAATTTTTGAATGTGAAATGAAAATGAATGGAAATCTTGGCGATTAGATCGCGACGATTGAGTCGCGTGAAGTATGCCCGGGGCCTTAGGCTGCGTTCATACTGATTCCCATGTTCTGGAACTGTTCCCGCACAGTTTCAGCACAGTGCGAGAACTGTGCGGGAACAGTTCCAGAACATGGGAATCAGTATGAACGCAGCCTTAGCGGATGCGGTATGGTACCACGTGAGAGATCCAAGCGAGGCGGCTCGCGAGGAGTTGAACCACATCGATTGTGACACTTAGATTGAAAGTTCCTGTACACCAGCTTATGCGCCTCATTAGGTGAGACCGAAAAAAATCGATATTTTTTTTTCAAATTCAAAAATTTCAAAACTTGATTTTAGGTTCATGCTGCTGTCCACAATACCGCAAAAAATCAGTATTTTTTTGAATTTAAAAATTCCAAAACTTGATTTTTAGGCTCATGCTGCTGCCCACAACATAAATCAAAATCTTACCACCACTGAAGCTCCAAAATCTTCTGTGAATGCCAAATGCAAGCTCAGTTTGAGCCGGAGACTACACAGGCACCAATGCCAGGTACTGAATTGGTCAAAATTAAGTGGGCTTGTCAAAAAATGAAAATTCTAGCCCCTTGCTCTTGCCCATCAGTTGAGGAGCAAACACAACTGAAGCTCCAATGATTCGTAAAAAATGTTCAGCAATTCAAATCTTATCTTAAAAATAAAAATATCTTTCCAGAATATTCACCTTGCGACTGCGGAAAGAGCATTGAGTCTACACCAATTCCAACGGAGACATTACAAGCAAATTAATCATTGCTTCTACAGTCCCCCCCCCCCAACTTGAAAAATGTATGATTTTTAGATCCTTGCTCTTCAGGCAAGGAGGTGGCTACTGAAGCTCCAAAATCTCCATGCTGCGCTCAAATGAGCGCTTAGACTGCACCAGAAGTCATCGAAACTTCTTCAGAACCAATCGCTGCTCCTGTACAAGGTGAGGGATTAAATCTTCCCTTTCCCTTCACCGTACGTAGAGTTCGCTAAAATACAAATTATAGGACCACCATGCTGCTGCGATCAGGCTCAAGACACTCTCCAATCCCCGAACCCCCACCACAGGTAAGCAAAGGGAGATGATCTGGGGTTACTGTAAACAAAAAAATATTTCTAGAATATTTTGTTCTTTCTTCTTAAGCCATACACGAGATTGGTAATCGATTTATTTGATCCACGGCTAACGTTTCGGCAGATCGCCTTCGTCACAGCCTGTAAGGGACAATACGATTTGCAATCAACTCGAACCGGTACCTCCACAGCTGAACAGACGAAATGCTAGACCTCGTTTTCGATCACTAGTTCAGCTGCACGGTCAAGCACGTACCCTCTGGATTACGCCGATACTCCTCTTCAGAGGAAAAATTGGGTCACGTCGTCCGGTGACAAAGAAAGTTTGACTTGTTAGACGTGCATGCAGACTGCTACTTATACACTACCAGATCAGAATAACTGATCTAGATAAGGAGAAAGTATATGCGTAATCGCTAGGTTTTCCTCTTTTCAGTTCATTCTTGGGTTTCTGGCATGAATCCAGAACGCTTCCAAACACTTACGTGCTTGTGTCTGGGATTCATAGGCCAAGATTCTCACAGAAATCTCAAAGTTTGATCCTGCATGTAGTAATTTTGTGTATTAGTATGCCGGACCCGGGTTTATACGGTGGTATCTTTATTCGACCTTACGTTTCGACACAGTCGCCGTCTTCGGAGGTCTGAAGTAGATTGCAGTTTGAATCTGGAAGACAACACCGCCAAACGCCATCGCGAAACACCAGCAAGTCTGGACCTCGCCTCGCGCGCAACGTGCTGAGATACACGACGGTGTGGAAACTGGCCTCTGAGCCACCGCGGTGTCAGTGAGGAAGTCAGTAGCCGCACAAAGGACACGGACTACACTGAGAGCTGCTCAGTGGATCGATCTTTATATATGCGCAGGGTGTAACTCACATATCACATAACTCACATAACTCTGGCCACTCTTTACCCAAAGATAATCCCAAGGACAAGTTTTGGGGCCTTAGTTTTTCTGTGCTTCCTGCAGGGTACACGAACGATTGGTTCATGCTGTTTTTTTCATGTGTGTTTGACTAACCATGCGATGGTGATATATTGTGTTTGTTACTAATCGCTCCGATCAGGATCAAAGAGCACTTTTTGGTGCATTTAAATAAATAAATAAATAAATAAATATCGACAGATACGGCAAGAGTTCGGTCGCTATCGATAAGCATTCAGTCTTGTTGTTCATACTTGGATTCCTAACGGAATTCCATGGCGCCTCCATACTTTTTCGTAATGCAATTTTTGCCTCGTATGATAGAATTGTGCATTTTACATCAAATTCACCGCCGTTATGTGCTTCTATCTTATGTTTTCCCAACGGTGACATTGCATTCGCTCGCCTCTTATTCATTAAATGCTCCTTTAATCTCACTTTCAACATTCTACCCGTCTCTCCAATATATAAAGCGCCACAACTCAGACACTGCAACTTGTAAACCACCCCTATTTTCGCGCAATCGCCTATTTTCCCGTATGGGCAAACGACGCAGTTTTTCGAAAGACACTCAACATCATACAATCTATTTCTCACTAACTGTTTCTTTATATTGTCATTCGGAATGTTTACCACTATGACTTCATCTTGTAGTTGTGCTCGTACCACACATCGTTTGATTGCTGAGCTCACTGCTTCAGAAATGAAGGGTATGCATAGAGGTACCTTATTGTCTTTCTTATTCGAATGGCTATTATTGCTGGCAAACTTCAAGGCATTATGAATAGCGAAAGGTTGCAGCATGTAGCCATTGCCTCGCGCAATTTGTGAAGCCAGTAATCTGGATTCAAAACGTTCTTGTGTACCCGTACATACATTCGCGGCAGTTCGGAACATGTTGCGAACAACAGCTCGTTTTACTGCTTTCGGATGCGCTGAGTTGGCGTGAATTATGATGTTTTTGGAATTTTCCTTCCTGTACCATTTTATACGAACAGTGTTATCAACCAGCGTATCTGCGTATTCAGGAAGGGAAGCCACCCGTTGTTCGGAGTTTCCCGTGTAATAAGCTTGATATACTGTGACTGCTGGTTTAGAATTCTAAAGCATTCGTCCATTTCGCATTGTGTCGAGGTTATAACACAGCAGTCATCGATGTAACGACAGTACATCAATGGTAAGCGTGCCAATACTGGTTCCGCAATTTTGCTTGAAATGTAATCTCTTCAAATGATTTGGGAACTACTACTCCCAGATTCGTATACTGGCGATGGGTCAACGGTTAGCCCCAGTCCTAGCCATTTGCTTTATAAGCAAAATTGAGGAACCAGTATTGGCACCTTACCATTGATGTACTGTCGCTACATCGATGACTGCTGTGTTTGAACCAGGGTAAAGCGGGGGGTGCGGCACGCCGCAGGGGGGGTCGTAAGGGGGGGGGGGGGTAGGTAGGGGGGGGGTCGTATCGACCCAAGGTCAAAAGCACTTGTACAAGCTGTGTGACTAAACTGACTTGATAAAAGCGCTGTTGAAATCCTGCAAAATTCAAGTTCAACGACACAAATTTGCAGATACCGTATGCCTACCGTAACCTACCGTACCTCTAATCAAGCATAATTGTCGTAATCCGCGTGTCGAATAACCCCTATGCGCCAAGTTTCAGCGAACTCTGAGGTCTCCGAGCAGTAAACAACCTTGTATAAAGCAGTAATTTAAAACATGATTAACTTCATCGTAACGGTGAGTAAGCTACCTCTTCTTGCACTCAATACAAAGCACTACTCCTTCTTTGTCCACCTCAGGAATCCCGCTTCAGAAGACCTCCAAACTATTGAATTAGAAGCCAACCAAAATCGCTTTTAGCTTTTGATCGCTGTGCTTTCACCAAATATTACTCAGAGCTAAGAAGACGAATCAGGCTCAAAACACCCTATGGAATCTATGAGGTTTAGGCTATTGATTCATACAAATATTGTCCGCTAAAAATCTTTTTTGATATAGTTAATGGCCTGCGGCACCCCCCCTTAAAACCTGCGGCTGCCGCAAGTTTTGAGGGGGGGGGGGGGGGTGCCGCAGGCCATTAACTTACCTTCAAATCGTTCAAACAGCTGCCTTTTTCATATCATCCTATAGATTCATCCTTCCTCTCTCCGTAGTAGCTGTTTCCCCTCGAACCTTTTTCTTTAGAAGGAAATACATATGGTTTTTGCGAACCATATGCTGGGAAGTGTGGCCAAAAAATATTGGGTTACGGTAGCGCTCGAAAGATTGTCAAAACACACACATACGCGCCTTTGAATCCCACTCTCGTTATAGCTGTGATGTTCTCGCTTTTTTATTCTTTTTCATCACTTGTTTCTCTCATTGTTCTTTCAGAAAACTTGCAGATGAACCGCAGATGAACAGAAAACTTCAAACTGACTACTTGCAGATGTTTGGACGTTGATGTTTGGTTTGGGTGGTATGTTTGGCGGCTTTGGACAAAGTACAGCAAGGATAATCAACAAAGAGGATATAAAGGTTTGCGTGGAAATTCTTTGGATAATACATTAAATCTTTCTGTTTGAGGTCGTCTTCAAAGATGTTGCTGGTTGTGAAGAGGCCAAGATAGAAATCATGGAGTCTGTAAATTTTCTTAAAAATCCTCAGCAGTACAAAGACCTTGGCGCAAAAATTCCCAAAGTAAGTTGTTATTTTTCTTACTTCTCCCCCTTGAATTAAATTTTATTTTCTCAGGGTGCAATATTGACTGGTCCGCCTGGTATAGGTAAGACTCTGCTTGCGAAAGCAACTGCCGGTGAAGCTACTGTGCCATTCATCACTGTGTCCGGCTCTGAGTTCCTTGAAGTTAGTTATCAGAGCTCTTACATCCTTGAAATGATCTGAAAGATGATTTGCAGATGTTTGTTGGTGTTGGTCCAGCTCGAGTTCGTGATATGTTCGCAATGGCAAGAAAAAACAGCCCATGCATCCTTTTTATTGACGAAATTGATGCTGTTGGTCGTAAGAGGGGTGGCAAAGGTGGAATGGGAGGGCATTCTGAACAGGAAAACACGCTGAATCAACTGTTTGTGGAAATGGATGGTCAGCACTTCCATACTTCAATTACCTCTGATATTGCAGACTTGTGATTTAGGTTTTTCTACCGAAGAATCGCCTGTGATAGTGATAGCCGCTACGAATAGAGTAGATATCTTGGACCCCGCTCTCTTACGACCCGGACGTTTCGATTTCGACAGGCAGATTTACGTACCAGTTCCGGATATCAAGGTGCGTCCTAGCTTTTGTTCTCTTCCGATTTTGTGTGAAACTTACATGGTCGATTCTTTTAATGTTGCTTTTCTCGCTGTATTGTATATGTATTTTCTAAACATTTTGCATTGATTCAGTGGCATTACTTTTGCTTAGATGTTGCGGAAAACAAACAAAGGGTCAGATTTGAGACGGAAAACTGCTCCTGAATTTCTTTCTTCCTTTGAAACTGTCCATTTTGCTAGTGCAATAGCAATCAAAATCTTCACCAAGTTTTTAGAGCCGTGCTTCATTATTCCGAGTTCATTTGGCTCCTTTAAAAACATCGTTGGATAAGTTCAAACTGTCACGGAAGCTTGCTGCGCACACTCCTGGATTTTCGGGTAATTTGCTATCACTTTTGTTAAGCTTTCGTTTTTTTTCGTTTTTTAAGCTTAAGGGTGGGGAGAGGGGGTGGGGTAGGGAATGGAGGGGGGTCGTGCCGGGGTGCGGCCCAGGGGGGGGGTCGTATCCGACGGTCGCGTGCCGCACCCCCCGCTTTATCCTGGTTATAACCTCGACACAGTCCGAAATGGACGATGCTATAGAATCCTAAACCAGCAGTCACTGTATATCAAGCTTACACGGGAAACTCCGAACAACGGGTGGCTTCCTTCCTGAATACGCAGATACAGCTGGTTGATAACACTGTTCGTATAAAATGGTACAGGAAGGAAAGTTCTACATCATACTTCACGCTAACTCAGCGCATTCGAAAGCAGTAAAACAAGCTGTTGTTCGCAACATGTTCCGAACTGCCGCTAATGTATGTACGGGTACACAAGAACGTTTTGAATCCAGATTACTGATCTCACAAATTGCGCGAGACAATGGCTACATGCTGCAACCTTTCGCTATTCATAAGGCCTTGAAGTTTGCCAGCAATAATAGCCATTCGAATAAGAAAGACAATAAGGTACCTCTATGCATACCCTTCATTTCTGAAGCAGTGAGCTCAGCAATCAAACGATGTGTGGTACGAGCACAACTACAAGATGAAGTCATAGTGGTAAACATTCCGAATGACAATATAAAGAAACAGTTAGTGAGAAATAGATTGTATGATGTTGAGTGTCTTTCGAAAAACTGCGTCGTTTGCCCATACGGGAAAATAGGCGATTGCGCGAAAATAGGGGTGGTTTACAAGTTGCAGTGTCTGAGTTGTGGCGCTTTATATATTGGAGAGACGGGTAGAATGTTGAAAGTGAGATTAAAGGAGCATTTAATGAATAAGAGGCGAGCGAATGCAATGTCACCGTTGGGAAAACATAAGATAGAAACACATAACGGCGGTGAATTTGATGTAAAATGCACAATTCTATCATACGAGGCAGAAATTGTATCACGAAAAAGTATGGAGGCGGCATGGATTTTCGTTAGGAATTCAAGCATGAACAACAAAATGAATGCTTATCGATAGCGACCGAACTCTTGCCGTATCTGTCGATATGTGAGTTACAGCCTGCGCATATATAAAGATCGATCCACTGAACAGCTCTCAGTGTCGTCCGTGTCCTTTGTGCGGCTACTGACTTCCTCACTAACACCGCGGTGGCTCAGAGGTCAGTTTCTACACCGTCGTGTATCTCAGTACGTTGCGCGCGAGGCGAGGTCCAGATTCGCTGGTGTTTCGCGATGGCGTTTGGTGGTGCTGTCTCCCAGATTCAAACTGCCTGCAATCTACTTCAGACCTCCGAAGACGACGACTGTGTCGAAACGTAAGGTCGAATAAAGATACCACCGTATAAACCTGGGTCCGGCATACTAATACACAAAATTACTACATCAGAATGCCCAGGTTCAGAGAAGAGAGAACATGGAACTTTGATCCTGATGTTGCGTTACTCTGTGGGTGCCTAGGGGTGTCGACGTACGTGCCTTATCTCTGCCGTCTATATGCTCTTTGATACGGATACATGGTGGACGCGCTGTTTCCTCTATGTATTCCTCACCGCAAGTCGTGCATGAGATTGAGTAGATGACTCCAGTTGCCATGCAATCCCCTTCTCTGCCTACAGGGCAGATTATGCAATTCGAGGTGACACAATTGCGATCATACAAGCGATTGCGAACTAAGATGGTTTTCAGGTTGCTTGACGGTAGTTCAACAATCGTAACCAGATTCTCAAATCTCAATCTTTTCAGGCACTGTCGCAATAATGCACTCATTTCTTTAGATATATATGGGATGCAAAATGTAACTTTTTCAGTAACGTGAGGGGCATCTGCTCGTACGTGATCTCTACTGCTCCTCTTTGTTATTCCTGCATGTGTATATCCATTAGAAGCCGCTATACTACGGGCAAGCGCCATCGATTCTGCCTTTTCTTTCGGACCACTACAGACCAGAGAAGCAGTGCGAAACATGTTGTTGATAACTGCTCTCTTCGTCCATGGCGGATGAGCCGAAGGTGAATGGACTAGAATATTTTTAGTGCTGGGCTTACGATGCCACTTTGTTGCGTGCGCACCAGAAGTGATATTTACCTGCACGTTCAAGAATGGCAGCCATTGATCTTTTGGCTTCTCTCTCGTCAATCGTATGTATTGAGATTGCTCGTTCAAGATTCTAAAACACTTATCCATGTCTTCTTGAGAGGCACAGACTACGAAGCAATCATCAATATAGCGGCAGTATAACAAAGGGCCGCCTAGTACCGGCGCTTCGATTTTCGCCATGTAAGCTATCGCGAGTGCGGGAGCTAATCTTTGCCCCATGGCTAATCCTCTCTTCTGCGCATAATTGTTACCGTACCACTTGAAAACGTTGCAATTTAGACACGCTTGCAAGAGAGTCATAATTTGCTGTACTGAAAGCCCGTGAAGATTGATAGAATTCTCGTTCTCTACAAGAAGCTCATGCACAGCTTGCAATGCGGATTCGTTTTGGACGTTCGTGCAAAGCGCATTGACGTCGATTCTATGACACACTCGCTATTTATGCATGTTCCGCGAAACGTTCCAAAAACATTTTCGTATTGGCCAGGTGAGAGGGGATGAACTTGAGTAGTTGCGTGAGTATTGATGTTATGAACCACCCAATTCTATCCGTTGGTCCTCCTATGGAACTTATGATTGGTCTTACTTTGAAGTTAGAAGGATCTGTAGAGGCCAAATCGCTGTCGGAATTGAGCTTATGCGTCTTTATTAATGAGTACAAAACGGGGCAAATTGGAAGATCTATCTTGAGACGCGCAATGACATCGTGCGACATATTCGCTGCTTTAGCTGTTTCAATCCATTTCTTGTTGAGTTCGCGATACTGTTTCTGGAATTCGTCAACAGAAGCAGTTCGATAGAGCGAAACGTCCTGAAGGTGTAATTTTGTTTCTAATTGGTGGGGTATGACTACAAACTCGCCACCTTTATCGCTAATAGATAGTCTTATTTGTCTTGATCTTATCAATTCTTGTATTTTGATGCCATGTTTTTGTAAATGAGAGAGGTAGACTTTACTTTACGTTGGCGCACCCGTGTTATCAGTTTGAAAACCTCGTCTGCAAAGAGACGGAACCTGACATCGACACTGGGATTGGCTCGTTGCTGTTTAAAGAAGGTACAGGGGAAAGGTAGTGATAGACATGTATGAGAAGAATTTTGAATCTCGCTCCCGCTTTCTAGGTTCATGCGCTTGCGAAGCTTATCTTGAAGCTCATGTAGATTGCAAGTAATTTACACAGGACTACTTTGGAAAATGACTTGTGATGGTGAGAAACTTGGACCTAATTCGAGAACAGAACGTGCATTTGCAGAAAGGGTTAAACCTCCAATTACAGTTACTCTTGATGTTGATCGATGGTCTGAGATTTTATTCCCACTTTAACTCCTATCTAGAGTGTTATACAGCTTGACTCAGTGGCAGCTTTATCCCGTGATTTACTCAAGAGGTTGTCGAACTTCCTCTGTAGAGTTGTTTTGATACCAGAACGAATATGGTTCTGGTATCAAAACATCGCTTGTATATCGCAATTGTGTCACCCCGAATTGCATGATCTGCCCTGCAAGCAGAGAAGGGGATTGCATGGCAACTGGAGTCATCTACTTAATTTCATGCACGACTTGCGGTGAGGAATACATAGGGGAAACAGCGCGTCCACTATGTATCCGTATCAAAGAGCATATAGACGGCAGAGATAAGGCACGTACATCGACACCTTTAGGCACCCATAGAGTAGCGCAACATGCAGGATCAACCTTTGAGATTTCTGTGAGAATCTTGGCCTATGGATCCCAGACACAAGCACGTAAGTGTTTGGAAGCGTTCTGGATTCATGCCAGAAACCCAAGAATGAACCGAAAAGAAGAAAACCTAGCGATTACGCATGAACTTTCTCCTTATCTAGATCAGTTATCCGATAGTATATAAGTAGCGGTCTGCATGCACGTCTAAACAAGTCAAACTTTCTCTATCACCGGACGACGTGACCCAACTTTTCCTCTGAAAAGGAGTATCGGCGTAATCCAGAGGGTACGTGCTTGGCCGTGCAGCTGAACTAGTGATTGAAAACGAGGTCTAGCATTTCGTCTGTTCAGCTGTAGAGGTACCGGTTCGAACTGATTGCAAAGTATTGTCCCTTACAGGCTCTGACGAAGGCGATCTGCCGAAACATTAGCCGTGGATCAAATAAATCGATTACCAATCTCGTGTATGGCTTAAGAAGAAAGAACAAAATATTACTATCATGCCGAGATTTATTGAAAGTCGCACTATTCAGTTACTATTTCAGAATCTTCAGGTCAAATGAAGAAAATTGCTGCGTCCCGCAGTTGCACCAGTGCCAGTTCGTCCTGCACCAAAACCACTTCAGACTGCACCAAGGCGAATCCCAGCAAGAAAGTCTGTCCCATATGTGCCTTGACCAATTCAAGCTGCAGCTAGGAAAGCTCGAATTGCACCAATGCGTATGGGACAATCAATCCATTAGGCACCTGTTCCTTCAGCGCAAGCACATTACAAGATATTTTCGTGGGGATAAAGATGAGATAATTTTTTTAGTGCCCAGCTGGCTGGAAACAATATGAATCTTTGTGCTATTATGTTGAGCAAGAGAAGATGGATTATCAAACGGCTGAGAGGAGATGTATTCAAAAGGGTGCAACTATGTCTGGTGCTGATAATATCATGGAGTATGTGAGTCTAGCCAAGGGAACCGTATCCTTACCGTATATATACCGTGCTCTAATGTATGGACTCGCGAGTGCTTTACAGGAAGAAGTGATGTACATGACTCCACTCTTCTACTGGTCATGGATCGGAATCACTCGTGAACACCACAATATGCCCATTCATTCCGCTCGATACCTCCTCCATGTAAGTATCTGCAATAACATTACCGTAACCCTACCATATACACCGCTCTCTCCCATACATTGAGTCTATTTTTTCAGAAACTAGCTGTTCAAGAGTGGTCCACCAACACAGAACGTTTGGTCACCCACGTTCAAATGACTGCTCATTACAACTCAAGGAAACCACCTCGACCAACCGTCTACTTCTATCCATGCAATTGCGATTACCATTCGATCTGTAAAAAAAAGTTCTATAAGAAGTCCCATGACTGATTTCTGCGTGTATGCCATTTCTGATTGTGATGATACCAATAAAAGCAGATTACCAATGTATGTACGATTTGAAAAGAAGAAGGTGTAAAAATAATAACCAAATTATAGTAGCACTATATATTGAAATATCTGAGGCGTTGCTTATTAGCGGGAGCACCATAGGGCAATAATAGGGGCCTTACGTTACTATGAAGACTTCTGCTTCGCAGTTTTGATTGCTCTATTGCCGCAACGGTAAGCAAGACTTTTTTGACGACCTGGAATAAAATGGGAACCCTCAAGCGCAGTATGTTATGCTAGTATAATTTCAAGTTTTGAACAGTTGTGGCTCTATCACTACACTTTGTAGATTTTCATAATCGCTGTGTGCGAAAGAAAATAAAATAATTCACACAAAAAACCTCCGCGTCAAAAATGATGCAAATTCTAGTTCTACCGGTGCATATTGCTCTCTCCTTATTTCGTTATGTTATGTTTCGCACAATATTGATAGCTATTTGATTTTGAAAACTTTTTTTGGAGACAAAAAATGCTTTTTCTTACAAAGAACAAGTTGTTTCTTATGAAAATATCAAATGCAACCGTATGTGAGAAGAAAACACCGTATAAATTTCCCTTTCTACACTCACTCTCAACAATGTGATTTTATTATAGTTGAGTTTAGGCATATTTTCTCGCAACGCCAACAGTTTCTTACCGTTCTTAGCAATTTGGTATTTGTCTAAGTAAGTCTATTATGAGTGTTTAACCATATTTGTATTCTTAAATAGATCTCATTCCAATATTCGTTTTGAAATTTTCACACTCTACATACCTTTGATGTGAAAACACTTTAATTATGTCAGAAGATATTAAAATTCTAATATTTGAAAAGAGGAGCTCACTAGATCCAAGTCTCATATATCTTTGCAAAATTGGAAAATCCCACAAACTAATGGTATTTTCTTCATCCAATCGTTTATAGGCTTTGAATCTTTTTTTTCGCAGCTTTTCCAGTCAATTTGATTACTGTCAAATATTATAAAAGTCTGATCAAATTTGAATTTAGGCGCTTTTCTGTTTTCTTATCTTTTTTTTGTTCTGCTAGAAGCACCGAACTTTTTCTACAACTGTAATCACAGCTTAATCATAGGATCTTCCTTCTGACAATGAGAGAAAAATGACATTCGCAGTGAAAAGGTTCCCAAAATTGAGTGCTTCATCAAAATTAAGATGTATGGGAAGCGAAGGTTTTCTTCGCAATAATTATTCCGGAAAGCACCGAGATTTTTTTTTACTATCTTGACCACAGATTGCGCATAAGTCCTCCTCTCAAGAGAATGACATTTTTGCAATGTTCTTTGAGGTACAGTTGACGTTCAGAATCTCTCCAAGAGCACAAGCAGATAATAACTTGTTTTGACGACTGCACCGTAATCTACAAACTACGTCGATTTCCTTAGCTGCTTGTAAGTGCTGTGACCTCACGGGTTTTACCAAGCGCCTTGGGAACCGCCGAAATCAGCGGCAAGTTGTCTAGGCAGTAACTGAAACATTTCCCATTTCGGTCTACAAGCTAAAAGCATTCTCGTTATGCACATGTCTGCGCACCTGCTTTGCATCATCGTCTTCAGTTAAATGTATTCTGCAACCTTGTAATGAAAGCGGGCTTCGCGAATAGAAATGTCGAAAAACGCAATCATAAAAAGGAGCGGATTCCTTACAATTCTGGATACGATGTAAGCGAGACTTGAACTTTTAAAGTTTAGATCACCTACTTTGATAGGCACGCCCGCTGCATCAACCTTTTGGGGATCTTCTCGCTTTGACATCCAATTTTAGCAGAGGAACTTGGCGACTCGTTAAGTTTTATTAGTTTACCGCACCAAAATGTCGTCATCCTTTGTCTGGTTGGCCGTGGGGCTTTTAGCGTCGCTCAGTACGAAGAATACAGGAAGAAGGCTCAAAACTTAGGGGCACAAACGCTAAAGTTTCGTTAGCCGCAGAGCGCTACTATAGAAAACGCCAAAATTAATTTGTCAATTTTCGCGAAAATAATAACTTCTCACAGGGACGTCCAAACAGTACAAACTTTTCGCAGATGCAAAGAGTAGACCAAAAAACATATGTACTGACGATTTCAGATTTTTCTGCGGCATTCCAGATTTTTGGTGACCTAACCTAAAATGGTCAAAGTTTATATGGCCTTAGTTTCCCATTTTTATCTCTGCTTTCAGTGTGAAACAGAAGATCCAGAAAACAGTGATTGAAAGCGGAATACTAATTTTAATAAAATTACAAGCAAGCAAATTTATTGAAATCTCGCGAAGTTAAATTTTTGAAAATGAAACGACATTCGGTTCAACCTAATATTAGGTCGCCCCAAAAGTATTTTCGCTTTTTTTGAACAAGCGCCACAGTCCGCAGAACAAAGGTTTATAGGAGCCCTTGGCAGCATTCGATGCAGTTTCTCATGCTCTTTCAAATGATCATCTTTGTTTAGCAGTTGACACAACGAGCTATCAGAAAATTGCGATAAACTGCGACCCATGCTTTTTATCAAGGTCAAATTCCACTATTTTTCTAGATTCTTGTACTGATTCTCCGAAAAAGTCCAAGTAACCTGCGGATAGAGCAAACAAAGTAGGATACAAAACAGTTTCGGTCTCCTTCCCAGGGCTCTCCATAATTTTTTGACAGAATTTTGAACAACACAATCGAATTTTAGGAGTCCCATATCAGACGCAGACTCGTCAAAATCCGCTGTCTCATATTTCTAATACTTTCAAAGTGGATTAGGATTCAGCACTAATTTTACGAAACATGTGAGCTTTCTGGGGTTCAGAATATCCAATTTTTGATTTGCCTAGGGTTCCTTAAAAACATGAATTTGTCGATTTTATCCTCCAAGACTTCTCTAATCAAGAACAAAAAACATGTCTCTAAAAGAGGAAAAAATGCTGCGCCGAATAACACCCAGTTGCTCGCCGGCTGTTGTTCTATGAGGTTTAAGTTGACCAAATATGGAATTTGATAGCATCGAAAAAATAATTTTGAAAAATTTTCAAAGTAAGCTATGGAAGGAACAAAAATTATTTTGCATCCTACTTTGTTTGCTCTATCGATGGGTTACTTGGACTTCTTCAAGGGATCAGTACAAGAGTTTAGAAAAATAGCTGAACTTGACCTTAGTTAAAAGCATGGGTCGCAGTTTATACCAATTTTCTGACAGCTTGTTGCTTCGTCTGCATTACAATGATGATCATTTGAAAGAGCATGAAAAGCTGTATCGAATGCTACCAAAAGCTCCGTAAAAAAAGCGAAAGTACTTTGGGGACGACCTAATATGTTAGGTTGGACCGAAAGTTCTGTCGCACCAATTCCAAAAAATCGTGACTGCACTTCACTTCCTGTCACTATACTTTTTCATAGTTTTTCACGATAAAGATACCACTAGGAAGTGTAACTTATGCATTTTCCAAATACACCTTTTCTCTCTTTCATGCTCTGACTGCATAGCTAAAATTGTGAAAAGGAAATCAGTTTAATTTCGGACTTTTGAGGCAAGCCCGTTAAAAATTCCAAAACTTTGCAAAAAAAAATCTAAAAGAGTCAGTATCCTAGGTTTTGTTATCTCTCTTTCCAGCTGAGCAAAAATCGCGCTAATTAAGCTCTTCTCAGAAAAGTTATAATTTTTGAGAAAAATGCCAAAAAATGGGTTCCTTGAGAAGATTGATTGTTTTGCTATTTTCTCCCAAAAATCATAACTTTTCAGAGAACAGCTTGACCAGCGTGAATTTTACTTTTGTAGAAGAAGAGGTTAAATAATTTAGGATACTTGCTGTTTTGGATTTAAAGGCGCAGTTTTGGATTTTCAACGGGCTTGCCTCAAAATTCCAAAAAAGTAGTGGCTTCCTTTTCCAATCTTTATCTTGCGATCGAAGCATAGTTGAGAGCAGGCAAGGCATCATTAGAAGGTACACGAGCTACTCTTTCTAATGGTTTTTTTTTCATGCAAGATTTTTGTGATAGAAGGAAGCTACGATCTTTTGAATGGTACAGGACTTTCGGTTCAACCTATCATAAAACTCAAAAGTGTTTGTCTGTTAATAAGTATGTTTTTTATACAAGCTTTTTTGAGCGGACCAAATGAGGTGAAACTTTGCGCACTTATGTTCTCGATCACCGGCGGTTGTTACAGGCTACTTTTTGCGACGATCAACTCAACCCTCCATCGATTTATTGATCTGTTTACTACATCTAGGAAAATGAAAGCATACCAATCATTTCTCCAAGTCTAGTAGTAATGGGCGGTAGAAAGCACTTACACTTTGCGGTGAGAAGGGTGCGGTGCCGCGAAGCGTGGCGGTCAAGAAGGAAGGCAATTTCGCCACGGATACCGCAGGAGCGCTGCAATCAAACTTCATGTACCGCAAGCAACAAACATCAACTAGTGTCCTATAAGTTACTCGCGAGCAAACTTAAGAACATTTTTGCTCGATAATCTCCGCACACTATCACCCTCGGCTCACCATAATATCCACATTTATCGTAATGGCATTCTTTTGACCTGACCGTGGCACATGACCGAAGGTCTTCTGAACGTTTAACTGGCCATCTCAAAGCCCGGGAAGGTAGGCGGTTTTAGGACTAACCTAAGAAATTCTTCTGAATGGCTCATCTCAAATCAATTGAGATGATTAGCGGTTTACCACGGGCCTATGTTCGTCATTCACTGCCGTCACCATCCTGGATTTCGCCCTCATGTGAGCCCTCATGAGCGCTGTGCCTGTGACATCATTCATGAGACTGATAAAGCAGCACATTTTCTACGATTTGCGTCTTCCACTTCGCATGACCAAAAACCGAGGTTAGGGATGGCAAAGGCTGAAACTGTGTGAAATGAAAACACATAAAATCATAAATGACTGAGCTGTTTGTTCTTTACACAAAGCGTTAGTCCACCGATAATATGGTGGCGAGTGTACTGCTATGCAAAACGCTTATAGGTTGGTTTAAGATTCATCTGGAATGTGCCCGCGAGTAAAAAAGATTCTGAAATCAGATGTTGCTTCCCGCGATAGTGTGAATGCACAGGTTTTTGTTTACAGGTGAACAAAGACGGGAAAACTGTTGCTCAGTACTGCATCATTTTGGCTTTGGCCATACTTTGCCCGTGTTGCAGATGTTGAAAGTGTTGAAAGTGTTGCCAGTGTTGAAAGTGTTGAAAGTGTTGCCGGTGTTGAAAGTGTTGAACGGAGGTCATCAGTCTAGCAGTTTCATTCTTTCTCGAACGATCTCAACGGCTGGTGAATACGTTGGAAATGGAATTGGGGAATGAGAAATGAAACTGAAATGAGATGGGGAATGTTTTCGCATGCAAAAGACCCTCAAACAAACTTTTTGAAAAGTGGACGGCTTGTCTGGAATAGGCAATCTCCAATATTTGAAAAAGCTGAAGTCTGAGTAGTAATGTGTGTTTTAGTTCGAATCCTGCCGCGCTTGCGATTAGTGAGTAAAGGACCTAAGTGAGGTTTGCAGCGTTTTCCTATTCCAGACAAGCCGTCCACTTTTCAAAAAGTTTGTTTGAGGATCTTTTGCATGCGAAAACATTCCCCATCTCATTTCAGTTTCATTTCTCATTCCCCAATTCCATTTCCAACGTATTCACCAGCCCGTGAGATCGTTCGAGAAAGAATGAAACTGCTAGACTGATGATGTCCGTTCAACACTTTCAACACCGGCAACACTTTCAACACTGGCAACACTTTCAACACCGGCAACACGGGCGAAGTATGGCCAAAGCCTTTGATTCCTTCTGCAATTTTGCACGAAGTGCTTCCGATCTCTCTTACATAGTATTTGATCTCAAATATTCTCTTTATTGCTGAGATTGAGCGACGTTGGCATTCTAAGGGCCGCATAATTAACATCCCCGTCGAGGAATGGATCGCAGCTGTAAAGAAAAGCTTCATATGCTAAAGCTCCAGTGTCTGTATTTCATGCTGTCTACCTATCCGTAAGCACTCCCACCATCCTTTGAACATCTTGAACGGGAGCATGAAGTTGTAGAAAACATTCCAAAATTGTGCTGTTTATCTAGCCCAACAGTGCTAACCATGTTTCTGTAAGAACAAGTGATGTTTCGAAGTCGTGAAATTTGCGGTGAACCACAAGTCGAAACTTGGGGTTTATAAAAAAAATCACCAATAACTCATTTGTTCTTATCAGCTGCATACTTAACACTGTTGGGTCAGATAATCAGTGCAACTTCAAAGGTTATCGTAAACTTGAAGGAAGAAAAATGACTTTGATTAAAGGCAGTGGCTCGGGAAAATCGCTAATGGGGATTTTCCACAACCACTTGACCTTCTGGACCAGCTGAGTCAGGTACTGTGCTTGAAAAGTCAAAAAAGTGTTTTTTGGCACTTCCCGAACTTGGAGATCGCTGGAGAGGAGAGGCGGGAGGTTACCGTCAACTGCGCCGTATTGATTGCTTGGGCTGATCAGCCAAATACCGCAAAAATAGGTGAAGTTACAGTATCCTGCAGTCACTTGCTGGTTATGGCGGGAATCCTTCACCCCGCCCTCCAACAATCTGCAAGGCCGGTAAACTCCAAAAAACACTTTTTTGACATTTCAAGCAGAGGTACCTGACTCAGTTGGTCCGGAAGGCCACGTAGTTGTGAAAAGCCCCTAATCGCAATTTTTCGGAGCCACTGCCTTTGAAGAAAAGAAGTTCGGCCGCGAGGATCATCACGGATTTATAGAAAAAGCTGGAAAATGCGGCTTGCGCATCTTGCTTCCGTTCAATATGTTCATAGTGAAGGACGGTGGGAAAACTTATGAGAGACAGCGTAAAATCCAATCTGAAACTTCAGGATATAGAGCTTCTTTCTGAGCTGCGATCCCCTCCCCGGCGGGGATGTTAATGCATGCGCCTCCAATAGTAAATGCTCACTAGGGAATGTTCGGAGGTCAATATGACCAATCCAAGCAGGCTGCACACCATTTGCAGCATTAAACTGACTCGAAACTTGCCTCCCTTATTTGCTGAACACTTTTGTGGACGAAGTTACAAGTCATCAAAGACCGTTATCTGTCTAAGTGATCGTGTGTATAAAAAGCAAATTTGGCCTTACAGATCCATGTTCGGCTTAATGCTGAACCAAAGCATGCAGCTAGGTTACTTCATATGGATATTTGAAGGTGAGCTAAAAGGGTAGTATTATGCTTAATTTCGTGATTTATATGTGATTCTTTCGAATCTTATATATAAAGCTGAATGTCTGTTTGTATTCTGTATGTCTGTCTGTAAGTGTGTACGTATGTTCCGAATAGAAAATTCCATTTCTGAACCGATCCGGACCAAACTTGGCACACATACACTTCGGGCCCCGGCGGGTGTCATAGGCTACTTTTCGTCGTCGACGATATCGATTTTATCGATTTTTTGCAAAATTTGAGCTAGGGGCTGGGAGTTGGCACAGGGGGGTAATCGAGCATGCTGATTACGAATATAATAATGACAGGGCCGGGCGGAGCCTTGTAAGTCAACTAGTCGCATATAAAAAGGCTCTCTATGCGACATCAAATGGTATTCATGTTTGGATTGGTCACTTCGACTGTTCCCTTGTCAGAGAAGCACGTCGAGCACTAAGAATCGCACACATGTAAGGTCGTAAGTTACTGAATCATACGTGACTTTGCGTACACTAGAGCTGGCCTAATTTGTCTCTCTCGTAAAGTTATAGCTTTCCGTATTATACATACAAATTTGAAAGGAATTCCTGCCTTTCGATTTGTTATGTTTAGAAACCAAGGAAAATGAAATCAGCCGACATAGACTACAGACATACAAAACAAGCTGCGTTGGTTATGCAAGCTGACTACAAAGGAGATGTTGTGAGTACTATTGTGCCTAGCCTACATATATCACTCATAGCAAGCGAATGCTGCTGTGCAAACCGTTTAATCTGGTATGATTAGTTTATTTGGCACATACATTTCAAAAAAAAAAGAAAAGAAAATAGTCTTCATAAAAGTTCATCAACATTTGAAAAAGGTTCAGAAACATGAGCTAGATGACGAACAATCGCAAGCTATATCTCATATAACATTCGACCCTGGTCAGAACTCCATAGCATACATAGGATCGCAAGTTGAACAGCTAGTAGGGGTTAGTTTGCAAGGTCTATTACACTATAACATGCTGAAATCTTTGGATGTAGTGCACCTGTTGACAATGTTTGCATTTCAGGCGTCACAGATGACAATGTTAGGTAGTGCTGAACAAACAGCTTCACAGGTATACTGTTACTTCAGTATGAGAAAGTGTTATGTCGGCACAAAAACAATCACCAACGCTACCGAGTTAGGGCAAATCTCCTAAGATGATTTCCACTATTTAATAATCAAGGAACATTTACAAGGCGATTGCAAATACCCGTACAAATCGTGATTTAAGTAAAACTTGATGTCAAGTCCAAATACATTCAAACATCCCAAAAATCGGAACCTCACTCAGAAATCCCACGAAGTTTCTGGTTGGTCACTATATGTAGACTTGCAATTAAATACACTTGAAAATTCGTTTCGTGGTAGCAAATCCAGAAGTGAAGTTAGCAGGCTCTGCCAAAGTAATTCTGATCTATTTCTCTACATAGCCTTTACTAAAAAACTCTGAAAGACCAGCAACAATGATTTTCAGCCTTTTACAAGCGCTGGTCTCGATATCGAGTCCAAAATTCTTTGAGAATATAAATTTTCGTAGATTCGACCTAATTTTATTTCTGCTCTTACCGCAACGAAAGCGAGCGTTGCATTTCACTGTTATGGGCCAAGGGGAGTTTTGCAGAAATTCTCTAATCGAAGGTCCCATTTTTAGAACGCTGTATTACTTTAATTTTGGCTTTGAAAAACGCGTCTCATATTGCGTTTGTCTTCTTCTAGAAGTCTTCTATTAAATCTTGCTCTGTACTATCCATAAATTTTTCAAAGTTTTTGTTGTGTTAGGCCCCGGGCAGACTTCACACGATTTGATCGTCGCGACGAGACAACTGTTACAACATCATTCCATGCCGATCAACTTGCATTCGGTTGTGATACTTTTCCAGCCCGAAATTTTTGAGTGTGAAATGAAAATGAATGAAAATCTTGGCGATTAGATCGCGACGATTAAGTCGCGTGAAGTCTGTCCAGGGCCTTAAGCATATGCGACGAAACATGCAGATCATTCCCCATTAGGAAAGGTGTTTGACTCGAAGTACCTTACTCCAGCTAGGTGATTACCATAATAACAATCTTCAAATGCTGATTACGAATATACTTTCGTTGTCTGCTTATCGACTTTGAACAAAGACTTCGGTTTGGCCTCGACTAACACTGAATTTGGTTGCTTATTTTAACTAAGGTAGCAGAGAGCTTCTAAACCATTCCCATCAATCAGCAACGCTAAATATTCTCAGACGTTCAGACATGTAACTTTGGTGTAAATTTGCATTTACTGCAAATGAAGGTCATTCAGACAATACACCATGCAATTTGAGAGTAGAAGATTGCCTACAACTTTGTTCAGTAGATCGCTGAGCAGCAGTGGCGTACCCAGGATTTCCGATTTGGGGAGGGGAGGGGGGGGGGGGGGGAGTTAGGCAAAGGCACTTTGAAAAATTCTTTGGGATGGTAAAGTTTTTAAGGGCCCCTGACCCCGAAATTCTAGAAAAAAAGGGGGCGTGGCGGCAGCCACTCTCCTAAATAGTTTTTTTATAAGGCTAATTTTGTATCTTTAAAAATTTTTTAAAAATTATTTCAACTATTTACAAGTAAAACTAAGTCGCTTGCACATTTTTATAACACATTTAAGTAACTTCCAAATCGCGACTCTTCCTCGGGGGGGGGGGGGGGAGTTAGGCAAAGGCACTTTGAAAAATTCTTTGGGATGGTAAAGTTTTTAAGGGCCCCTGACCCCGAAATTCTAGAAAAAAAGGGGGCGTGGCGGCAGCCACTCTCCTAAATAGTTTTTTTATAAGGCTAACTTTGTATCTTTAAAAATTTTTTAAAAATTATTTCAACTATTTACAAGTAAAACTAAGTCGCTTGCACATTTTTATAACACATTTAAGTAACTTCCAAATCGCGACTCTTCCTCGGGGGGGGGGGGGGGGGGGAGCCAACCGCCCTCTCCAGGTACGCCATTGCTGAGCAGATATGGAAAACTGTTGAAATTAGCTCTCAAAGACCTTTGACCAATATCATCTAATTGGGAAAGTTCGTTTCGAGTCGAATATCTTTTCCAGCTGAGTGGAAAAAAAAGTTTGTTGCTTTTAACTGCTTTCCCGCACCGGCAGAAAGTGAGCCCAAAAACATATGTGGGACAAAATATGGTATTTAAACCTTTCTGGATATTTGATTCAATCCAGTAAAGTTCAAAGTCAAAATTTACTTGTTTGCTCAAAAAATTGGAACAAATTGGATGTCCGTAACAACTAAAAATCACTCCTCCACACTACACTTTCGGCATGAGGCGTTCATGATTAAAGTCGTTACATTTCCTTTGTTCAAATTGAAGATTGAAGAAGTCATGCTTTTAATGAGCAAGATTATTCTCGCATTGGTTTTCTGTGTCAAGTATTTTGGATGTGCAACCGTAAATTTCTAGCGTTCTGCTGGAACTAATTGCAAAATACTCACAAAATTCAAGGCCCAAGAGACATATGGATCCGTTGAGCGCATCGTCAAAACTCTCCTTATAAGTTGAGCTCGTTTTTTTGCATGGTTTATTTACGCGCCGTAGCGTGCAACAGAGGATGGCGGCTCGGGAATTTCACTAATTAGTTCTACGAATTTCGTGACAGATAGATACAGTTTTGAATCCTTATCGTAATAATGTGTTGCCTAGGAGCCTGCTAAGAAAACTCAATCACCAGAAGGAACAAGTGCAACGCAAACAAATGAGACAAAAAATTATGCAAGGAAAGGTGCAACAAGTGCTTCAGCAGAAGTCCTCAAAATCAAAGGGATCCAACATTAATGCCGATATATGTTATTAAATGTTCTGGAGAAAAAGTGGCCTTTGTTCTAAAATTGAAGTGATTAAGTTTCATTCTTCTTGTTTTATCATCAAATCTGTACAAAAGATTAGGTAATATCTCAACATGCTTTTTATTTGAAATGTTTCCGAGAGACTAGCAATAAATTAATTTGATTAGTTTTTTGCCATAATAGGTTCAAGGAATTAATGTTAATAGGGTAATGTGCAAGTGAAAACATCTCAAACAAAGAAGGGCTTTGGAATGTGTAAAACAATAATTATGTAATGCAACATCTGAGATAGAATCGCTGCTATATACAGAGTGTCCCAAAAAAATGTGCACACTGTTTGATTGTAAATAACTCTTTTGTGGTGAAGTGTTTCGAAAAGCTTTAGGTACCATTTTGTAGAGCAAGGTTCAACTTAGATTTACAGCGTAGAGCGGATCGCCGACCTCTCATTCTTACTGTAAGATTACGATAGAAACTTTGAAGAGGGTTTTGAGCCATGAAAGGCCATATTTTGTTCCAAAAAGAAACCAAAACAACCTAAAAACTCTCACACTGGGCTAACTAGAGTTGCTGATTCTAAATGTGAAGTTCGCAACTCTTTGTAATGCTTCATCAAAAGATTAGGCGAGATGAGCAGTAGCAGACGTTTTTAAGTGCTCCTAAAAAGTGCGGTTACACCGTTTAGAAAGCTTCTCAACCTTGTAAGAAGTTGGGTAATGAACTCAGGATCCATAAAAACCCTATCACACAAATTTCCACATTTTTTTGAAAATTTTTGAAACGGCCGCTTTTTTCACAGTGACACCATATGTTTGAAGTTTTCTACCGTACTCCTACAGTAAGAATGAGCGATCGGTGATTCGCTCTAACGTCTAAGTTGAGCCTCGCTCTACAAAATGGTGCCTAAAGCTTCTCGAAACACTTCACTACAAGAGAGTTATTACAATCAAACAGTGTGCACATTTTTTTTGGGACACCCTGTATAATACACAGGGTGTTCAAAAATGTCATTATGGTTTGGTTGTGAATAATTCTCTTGTCAAGAAATTGTGAACAACTCTGTTTGTAAAGAAATCTTTTACTTGAATACCGTTTTGTAAGGATGGCTGTAACTCAGACTTACAGTATGGAGCGAATTGCCGTTTTCTCTTTATTACTGTAGAATTACGGTGGGAACTTAATGGAGGGTTTCCCAATTGGTCATACCCCCCTAAAAAACTAAAAAGCTGAAAACTCCCACACTAGGTTAGTCAGAGTCGTTGATTCCAAACATAAAACTCGCACTTCACCGTAACGATTTTCGCTATGTTATGCCGGATACACCGTAACAACCGATTTCTGATATTCGCCAAAAATTATGTTAAAAAAGCTTTGCAAACGCGCAAAAGGCTACATAGTAAAATCAGCATGCATGAAAACAATGTCGAACAAGATTGCAACAGAGCGTTGCAATCATGACAAAAACATCATCTTCTTCCCAATATTCTTGCTTTCCCAGCATTTGATGAATGTATAGGCGCCGTAAAACCTAATTGCCCGCGCCGTGCCTTGAACACCAGCGTAAGCGAGCGGTCAACGCGAACGACTGTAGGCGTTCACTATATTCAAGGAAATCTTTCTTTAGCTTTCATGTTGTTCTCGTCAATGCAAGGTAAATCTTGACGAAAGCTCCCTTCACAAGTTTAAAAAAATATATGTGGAAAGGGTGCGCGCTCATTGTCGCTCGCAAAAAGCCTGTAGCGCTTCGGGACCAAACGTTCCCACCCGCGTCGCGCCTTGGTGTTTAAAACGACGCGAGGGCAATTGGATTTTACGCGGCCTGTAAGCATATGTTGGAGTTTCACATATGTTTCATGGAGCTTTTGGAGACATCAAGTCCGACAAAACCATACTCTCTCCTCTCAACCAAAACTCTCAAAAATTTTAAACGGGAGCAATTTTGCTCCAGCGCTGTTCGCACTAGTCCGCATGTTGTTAAGGAAAAATACGAAATTAAACACTCCTATATAGCGCATAATTTGCTGTTTTTGTATTCAATTCTGTTCTTTCAAATTGTGCCTTTTTTAGAATTCCTCGTGTGACTTACCTAATTCTATTGCAAAGCCAGGAAGGGACTTCGTTTTCTTGTTCATCGGTGCCACCTACTGCCAAGCTCCGTGCAGCATTCTAGTCAATTCAAATGCATCCAGAACAACTTTGTTATTGCATGACAAAACTGAATTTTGGTTAAGTTCAGCACTTAGGAAGGCGATAATATGCTCTGAAGTTATGGTAACGCTTACGAAAGGTTAATTTGATTGACTGCACTAAAATGCTTTCGAAATGCATTTTCATTGAGCTTCAAGTGTAAAATGCGAGGCTGCAGTTTGGAAATAGTAGACTCAGAGCCAGAGAGTTCAAAATCCTAATCATGAAACTTGTAGATAAAGTCACAGTCCAGACTTGAACTAAGTGGATATCATTTAGGCACAGTTGCATTTGTAGGTGAGTAAGCTGTGCGAGACTCTGCAGACATATTCAATGCACTGAGTCATTGCATTTGTTGAACAAACTAATTTGGAATTGCAAGCAAACTAATAGGTTGAGAGCTCTCGGATATGTTCACACTAACGTGTTTTCTTAGAATGCATCCACAAAAATTTGCAGTTGTACTTTCACACGTGTGTATTACTTGAGCAGGAGAGGAGCCTAGGATCAATATGTGCGATGCTTTCCACTTTTTATTAAACCCTTTTTGCTACCCTAATTTCACGCGTACAAAGCGCGGGCCCAAACATGCCACAACAATTCGCGATTAAAGAACCCTATACCGGGCTCCGTATTGCTTTAAAGAGTTGAACGGTTTAAGGTTCGCTTTTCGAAACACATTGAAGTGGTTGAGCGGCTTGTTTGAAAAATCGAAAAAGGTGCGCCTTGTACGCGTGAAATTAGGGTACTTAAGTGCAGATTTCATGCAGCTTGCGCATGTACGGGGCCTCGCTTAGGTCTCTCGCCGTGTCCGCCCTCAATGGATACAGTATTCTTCCCACTTGAGGTTTGAGAAATACCGTATCTTTAAGCATGAATGGCTGCCGGGCTTGGGCAAATGCTCCGAAACACGTTCGCGAACACGTCGAATGGCCCAAACGGAAGAGCTCGCGAGAACCTGAGCCGTGGCGATCGTAAAACCCGAATTGGAATCCTCTGTACATAAAGTGTGCGTCTTTGTGTTTCTACTATAGCCTCTAAGAGTGTCAAAGGTGTCAAAGCTTACGAAAGATAGAGTTCTCAGCTAACAAGAAAATGATACTTAGTGTCCTTGGCCTTCTGAAATGAATTGTATACCATTACACTTGTCTTCGGACGCTGATTCCGAATCTAACTTCCGATTCTGCTAATCTTCTCTCAAGGGATTATGAAGGATTTTTGCGCCAATTTTGGCCACCCGAGATATGATAGGAACGTCAATGCTGCCGGTAACTGTGATGTATTGGCTAGTGCGATAGCATCACAAATTGATGCAAGTGTAGGTTCAGATCCTCTTGTACTTCCCAGTTTTGCATTGCCTCCATCAAGGCTTTGCCTCGCGCGACCAAACTTAGTGAATCTTTCATAACTTCTTTCAAAGAAACGATTAGCAGAAACCAAGGTCAGATTAGGAATCAGCTTCGAAGGCGAGTGTAATGGTACACATTTCATCTCAAAAGGCCACGGTCACTAATTATGGTTCCCTTGTAAGTTAGAATCCTACGTTTTGAAATTTTGCCTCAGTCTGTAGGAATCATTGACTGTGCTGCGCGTATTGTGGTCTTTCAATTAATGCTTTACTCTACTGAGGTCTTCCGCATGCACCATTTGGTATTTTCATTGAAGCAAAAACCTTGTCAAATGCAATCTAAGAAAACGTTTACCATTCTGATATTGGATAGCAATGCTTCATGTACTCTACCGAACAGTTTATTTTTAGACTGAACTTTGGGAAAAAATTATTGACAGATGAATTTTTTCCACTGTGAAGCATTAAGAGACTGAGAATGAAGTTGTCCTAGAAAAACATGACTGATTTTCTATGAAAATGGTAGAAAGAATTTTTTGCCGTGTCTATGTCTATCTAAGAACTGACAAATGGGAAACTTTTGACAATTTATTTTCTGGCTCGTCCTCTGGAGGTTTTCAGGTGAACACTTCCTTTTGCGTCGCTCTCACATTTGTATGTTACACCTCTGTATCTCTTCTCCGAGTCCACAGGAATCTGTAACGGCGGGAACACGATTAAACGACTTCTCATTGCTAATACTAGGGTGTCCCATAATTTTTTTTACCGTTTTTACCCTAAACATCAGAATTTCTCGAGAACTGAGGCACCTACAAAAGATCCAAATACATGATTGTGCATTTGTATGTATGAGCTATATGATCACATGCGTGGGAGGAGCAGGACGCCTGAGGGCGAATTTGCCATTTTGCCTCATCCATTATTTTTTTTATTTCTAACCATGGAAAAAATTCGAAAAGTGTACAGCTGAGTATGCGATGTATCAAGCAAAAGCTAGGATAAGTGGGGAATTTTTTTGGATTTTTGGATCGGAGATACGATTTTTGAAAGAAAAATTCGTTTTGGACTACTATCAGATTTCAGCTCAAAACTTCGCTTGGGATATGATTTATGCAGACTTTTGATAGCCATCTTGTAGAGCTTGCTTTGCCCTGTCGAATGATTCAAGCCTCATCAAATGAAGGAAGGATACAAAAATACGGCGGTTGTAGTAAAAACGGTAAAACGAAAAATTCTAAATAATCAAATTCTAAATGATTAAAAATTCTAAATAATCAAATGATCAAACAAATTCGAATTGACATCTTTGAATAAGCGTACATCGTATATATTTAAGAGCTTGAAATTTTCAAATAGTCGAATGTTGATTGAATTTTATTCGAGCACTCGAATATTTATTCGATTTGGTTCAAAGTATAGTGCCTAGTAGATCGAGGTACACAGCTCGACACAGACGGCTTACAGGTAAGCGAATATTGCTTTTGAGTGGAAATATGGAATATCGTTTTTGTAATGTTACTAAATTTTAAAGAGCTGAAGCGAGGGAGAAAGAGAGCGAGAAAAAGGGACAGATGCAATATCTCTTTCTACAGTGATTATGTATCTGGGTACGCAAACATCAATCATCTTGTGGGGTTTGGAACTGTTTGGAAGAAATGCAAAATTTGCTAATTCCTCAAGAAAAACGCTGTCTATGAACCACTCGAAATAGCGGGAAGAATCGGTGTAAATCGAGGAAACCATTTTGCGCTGAATGTAACTTGGCGTCGTTTTGTACAAAAACACGCTCAATACTTTTTGCTTTTTTCCTTTTTCCCTGCTCTCTGACACGCTCAACACTTTTCTTGTTTTCCCTTCATGCTTCCCGTGATCTTTCGCGTTTTTTTAGATAACAGTCCTAAGCTTGAATTGAGTGCCACATGCTGACAAGGGAATGGTCAGAATTCACAGTAGCCAAAGCAAGCTGCATAACATAACATTAGATGCAGCATTAGCCGCTAGCTCGACTCTTCCTTGTCTGCAGAACACTTTTGTGGATGAAGCTATAAGCCATAGGCCATCATTCTGCTAAGACATCCTGCGTGTAAAGGCAGATTTGGAGCCATGCCTTACAGAGCCATTTTGGCTTACTGTTAGACCAAAACATTCAGAGGGTTTCTTCAAATGGGCTCATACCTTAAAATAAGCCAAACGGGCAATAATAAGCTTGATTTCGCAATTTTTATGCACGATTTTTTCGCAATAAAACTGCTCATAATTTCGCCTACAGAGATAAGGATGACACTTTTCGAATCAGCGTTCTATGCTGCATCAAATCGTGTCAGCTTGCTTGGATTGGCCACTTCGACTTCTGACCATTTCCTTGTAAGCATTGCATAACAAATAAGAGAACTACACTTTTCGAACTTACAATGCTCTGAGAAGAATCGTTCAAAAAGGTCGTGGCAAAATTAGGCTCTTGCATGGTGTAGATATTGCTCCGCAAAACAACCAATCTATCAAAGAACTATCCTTTGACTCAACTGGATCGGTTGCTGGAAGGCGGAGTTTCATGATCTAGTTAAGGCCAGAGAATGATCAGAGAGCACGAGCGCGAGGAAGATGCAGACTGAGTCGCGGGCGCGAGAGACCTCATCAGGTCATAATACCCCGCCTTCCAGCCGCCATCCAGTTGAATCAAAGGAAACAGTGAATAATATGCTACCTCGGCAGATACAATGCCACTACGATGTTGAGAAAATGCAGTACAATTTGCACATGAAAGAATAGCCATGCCTGTAATGCCGGCAGATTTTCGTTACCGCGAACTGCCTGTGCGAGTAGCTGCCGCAGGTTGAAATTGACAAAAAAGTCCAAAATTGTTAGAGCGACCCGTATTCGGCTGTACGGTACAAAAGATTTGTAGGTCAGGCTGCGTTTAAGCATCAACTAACAAGGGAGGTCGAATCAGTCGAAGTGGCCTTTCCAAATGGGTCATATACCATCTTGAAGAGCGTTGAACGCTGATTCCGAATCTGCCTTCATTATCTGCCGAGCGCTTCTGGACGTTGAGTTATAAAATTTTTTTGGAGCGAAAAATAAACTCAGAATTCAAGTAAAATTAACTATTACGGACTTTTCAGCGCCTAAATAGAGCAACATGTAGTATGAGTGTTTTGTACAGAAGGTAACCTTTGTAATGGAGTGCTCTGATAACCAACTTCGGACCATTTGAGCAATTCTGACGAATTTTGCTCTAATTACGCATTAAATTTTTCAACCAAAGGAACGCTCATAACTCGGCGTCTAGAGGCGCTCGGCAGATAACGAAGACAGATTCGGAATCAGCGTTGCATGCTCTATAAAATAGTATGCATTTCATATGGAAACGCCACTTCGACCAAGTATCCTTCCCTTGTAAGGCACATTATTTGATTGACCGTCCGTATCGGAAATGGGCACAAGCTGGAACCAAGTTACTAATTTCCAAAAGAAGTTTTCTTCATTGTCACAACATTAAGAAGTTTTCTTTGACCTTTTTGAAGTTCCCTCATTACTTTTCATTTGTTTTTTTTTGTAAACCGAGCCGTCTCTCAAAAAATCTCCTCGTTCATTTATTTTAGAGAAGCTCCAATGGGATTTTCAATACTCTCTACGCAGGCGCCGAATGCGGTTTACGCTAGTAGGAAAGATCCGGCAGACTAACCGCTCTATCCCTTCCCCCATCCCTCCTTCCCTCCCTGCCTTCATTTTCCTCTGAAATTATTTTTCTTTGTGCGAAGATCATGAAAACATTTCAAGGTTGCATCTTGTAATGATTATTTCCCCCCAACGGTACTAAACATGCTTCTGATAAGAACAATCAAGTTATTGACATACTAAAATTTTCCTCCTCAACTTTCGACTTGTGCTTCATCGCAATCTTCATGACTTCGATACATAAATGTTCTTATCATAGACATGTTAGTACTGTGCTGTTGTTAGGTCGGCACATAAGTAGTACAACTTATTATAAAACGTTTGTCTTCTCGAACGTAGCGCATTCATATTCTGGCAATATAAGGATCATGATGTAAACTGCAAATGCAGACATTCTTGCCAAACTTTGCCATCTTATGTGAGGGTTAAGGTAGGTTTACGGCACAATGGGAAAAGTTTTGAATTGCGTCGAATTTTGCTAAAACTTAGTCTATGGGGGTTATTCGACTAGTTAATCACAAAAATGAGACTCGTTTTGCATAAAAAGGCCTCTTTCGCAAGTGTCGTGAACACGATTTCAATCAAGAATACTCAAGTATGTATTGATCCAATACTTTATTGATATTTTTCGCCATGCTTTTCTTTCAGAATGCTTTGTTTACATCTGCGTGCGGAGCCGACCCCAGATGGAGCGACCGATAACAGAACGATCATCGTCTATGCAGCTTCTCGATGCTCACGCAAGTATTATTTTTACATATCTTCCTGTAACATCAATCCTCAAGGTATATAAGTTTATGCTACGGTAGACACGTATTTGTTGACTTTGATTTTGAATTGAACAGTTTTGCATTCTTTTTCTTTTCAAAGACATCATACAAAACTAGTATGAAAGGCAGATATGAAAATCAAGTATTGAATAGAAAAGGATAAACAAGTATTGCAGCAATTATGTTGCCACACATATCCTTTTTATCAGCATCCCTATTAGTATCGTTTGGCATTACTACTCATTTGCTATGTTATGGAGTTTTGAGATACGTCTCATGTTATTTTGTTATGTTTATTTTGTCGGTTTTTTATAGTTTTTGATGTAAACGCTATAATTACCCAAGTTAAGTTGAACGCATACGCATCAACACGAATAATCCCACATGACAGTTTATCAAGTGCAATGCGTTTCTCGGTATTCGAGGGTTATTGTTCTAAATATATATCCCGTTACCTCAACACAGCAAGAACAAAAAACCAACGTTATCTTAGCTACAAATTAATATGATATTGTGTTTATCGTAATGGATTACCTTACTGCGCAAAGTTTTAGCCAATTCTGAGGTTCCGCAACTTAGTTATTCACAGATTTCTTCCGCATTTGACTTGTTCTACTTCTCAAAAGCGCCCTATATTAGCTTGTCTTTAAATTTCACTTTTTTACTGTTTCGAATGTGTCAATTCTAGCTAAATGTTGTTTATGATATCTTTGTGATATGTTCGATTCAGGTTTCATACGGCTTCACGTTTGCCAAAAAACCGTGAAAACTCCCTTTCAACAGTTTTCGAAAAATTTTAAAAGTTTTTCGACTACGTTTTCAGTAATCGAAGGTTTGCACAGACTTGCAGCACACGTCACATTCTAGATGATGCCAGAGAATGAGAGTGTTCAGAGAATGAGAGTGCTATTGAATAAGAAGAAAGTTATGAGAAATGTTGCAAAACTTATGTGCCAACCTAATAGATAAACAGAACAACTTTGGAATGTTTTTAGTGGGTTCGACTTTGAAAAGAAGCTGTCGAGCGCTAGGGGTCATCAGAGAACCACGAGGAAAGCTGAAAAACGGCAGCTTATACAACTTTTCGCTCCTATTCATTGTATACAGTAAAGTGTAATAGAAACGCGGATGGAATAGCGGATTACGCAGCGAGAAATTCAAATATTCACAGCTTCAGAACATGAAGCTTTCTTTGATGCTCCCTCCCCAGCAAAGACGCTAATGCATGCGGCCCTAAAAGAAGGTCAGTGGGTAGGAGCAAAAAAACGATCAGGCAAATAGAGATCGTAGGAAAAGCAAGTGAGAGTGGTACAGGGTATCCCAAAAGTGTGTATACACTGTTTGATCGTTAACATCTCTCTTCCCTAGAAGTCTTCTGCCTACCTTTAGTACTATTTTGTAAAGCTAGCTTCAGCTTAGATTTACTGCTTGGTACAAAGAACCGATCTCTCTTCATTACTGTGGGATTATGGTAGGAACAGAAGGATTTTGTGCCATTGAGGGTCCTATTTCGCCTTAGAAAGCAAACCAAACAATCTAAAACCCTTTCACTAGGCTAGTTGAAACCGCTAACCAAATATAGACCTTGCATTTAACCGCGATGCTTCCCTCATAACTTGGCCAGGTAAAGCGTAATAGCTGCCTGTACAATATTCCCCAAAATTGTGATTAGATCATTTGAAAAGCTTTGCAAGTTTCTAGAAAGCTGAGTAGTAAACTCATCGCGCGTGAAAACTCTGGTACACCACTTTTCGGGGTTTTCGGACTTTTGAAGCACGACTAACCCACAATGACGCTGTGAGTCAAAAGTTTCTACCATAGTCTTGCAGTAATCAAGGGCGACCAGTGGCTCGCTCCATACTGTAAATCTAAGTTGAAGTCAGCTCTACAAAAACGTCCTTAAGGTAGGTAGAAGCCTTCTCGGGAAGAGAGATATTTACGATCAAAAAGTGTACATAATTTTGTGACACTCCGTAGAAATGGAAGACTTGTTAGAGTCGTGTTTCAAAATAGGAGCAGATAGCACCTACAATAAAATTTTCCTCAAAAGCTATGCCTGCAGAAAGGAATTGAATGGTTTTGTGCTTGTAGGGAACTTTAGAATGCAAGTACAAAATTTGTTAAGAACCTGAGTTTTGATTTTGAACAAGTCGTATTTTATTCATGGCACAAGTTTGCATTCCATATTCGACTAGGTAGTTGACTCACTTCTTAAAATATTTGCAAAAATGTGTTGAAGCTGTCACATTTGAAGACGTGTGATCTCTTCGAGCACAAAAAATTCAGAAAAAAATTCATGTTGATTGGGCTGAACTTTTTGGTAACCCCCTACTCAAGCGAACAAATTTGAAGTACCTACATATATCCTCAAGGAAAGCAGGAAAATGAATTTGACTATTTAAATTTTGTATGTTTTAATGCCGTTGTGCAGATACTCAGACGCTGGGACCGGCCGAGCCGCGGACCTTTTCCGGCTGGAATTTCGCAGCGTCCGCGGCTCCGCCGGTGCAATCAATATTCACAGTCTTTGAGCCCATCATTAAGGCCGCGGCTGAGCCGGTAAGCCATATTCAGTCCGCGGCTCGGCCGGTGCAATGATATTGACATGAAATAAGGTCCGCGACTCGGCCGGACTCCGGCCACGCCCACAAATTAAGGCCGCGGAAGGGCCGGAAAGGCCTTTTGTGGCGGCGGCTCAGCCGGTCCCATTGTCTGAGCAGGTACCTTACCCATAGTGCACATGCAGAAGCGGCAGCACTCGCGCGTGAACAATTACCGCAGAGTGGGATTTCCAGGTAATTATTAGTATTTTTTTCCATTCTTATTTCTCACGTATGCCTCAAACGTTGTTTTGAAAAGTCATGCTATCATTTGAGGATGTACCGCCTGGTAGCCATCGCATTCAGCGTTTGTAATCTAACCCTTTCTTTCGTCTCTTTCCTATCATAAAATGTGTCTTCACCATGCTTGTAGATTTCTTCATCCTCTTAGACCTTCCCTTACCCCATGAAGTACTGTGATATGCTATTTCCAAGTGAGCAAGGATCTACTGCTAAAAAAAGCAAAGATCCACAGTATTTTGACTTAAAAACGCTAGCGTGGTTAAGCGATGCAGCTTCCAAGTGGTAGATCTGAAATCACGATGCTATGACTTTTCAAAACAACAAAAATTGCTTTTCACTCAGCTTTAACTTTACTCCCAGGCTTTTCAGGCATACCTGAAAAATGAAGAATTAAAAAAAATACTGAGATTACCTGAAATTTCTCATTCTACGGCAATTGTTCACGCGCGAGTGCTTCCGCCTCTGCAGGCGCAGTATGTTTACCGGTAAATCTACTCGACCGTATGCTATGAATGGTAGCCTACACTGCGCTGCAGCTGGGTTTTAGAGCGCACTCATTTTCATTGCCCGTGAGCTAATGCCCAATGACGTTCCGGTGCGCAACGCCGCATGAACAGACGTACTGTCTATCTCAACTAGCAACAATTTTACCTTTCGTTCATTGCTAATTTCCGTCATTTGTGTTTCTCTGTAAAACAGATATCTCCACATTCTCTTTCATTTTTCAGAAATTTGGAAATCAAAAGAAACTCCTTAAAATACTAGTAATGTCATACAAAAGGCATAGCTTCAATAGCAGTAATCTCACTGGAAACGAAGAGAAGCACAGTACATAACATGATTTGTCAGCAGGGAAGAACAACTACAGTACAATGAATTTTTAATTTGCTAGGCTGGTGCTTTATGCAAGGTGTGCCTTATACCGCGGAACATAGGAGTAGGTCGAAACTCGAAAATTAATTTTGGAAAAATACACTTTCCACTAATATTACAAAGTTTTACAACAATCAAGGTTCTTTGAGTTCTCATCAATATTCAGTTCAGCAAAATATCCGTAAGTGTGAAGACTTCCCCCGCAAAAAAAGATTATTCTCTGGTAGCTATACTAGCTCCTCAGAATGATTAGACGACTGTATGCCTTCCTTGAGCGCTGCCTTCGTAAACTACCGGCACTAACGATATGCAATTAAGAAAGTATAAGTGGTCCGCTGAAGCGGTGCCTAGTTGCTGTAGTCGTTCCTATACCCCTCAGGACCACATTGAGAACCGAGGCTATCGGAAAACTTTAGCATAAGAGAATAATTATGAGGTTTTCCTGGAAACGAGCGATAAAAAATTGCGGTTACAATCGTGCGGACACTATTCAAGTAAACAACAGATTTGCAATGGAAATAATGAGCATGCGGGTCTAAGTTTAGCAGAGCCTACATTTGATTTGCTAAATATTTTCATTCCGAGTATAGTGATATTCACCGACCTCCTGATAAAAAACTGTGAGGCAAGCTAATATATCAATTCTCCAGCCCTTCTGTGAGCCGTCGTCCACTTCTTGGCACTGCCTCACAAAGCTGCCTTCGATCTGAATTGGAATGTAAGCAACAATAAAAGTTTAGGTTGTGCTGTACCCATTTCTGATCTTTCTCGTATTCCACATCTCCGTCTTTACATAGAGAAGAAGCTGTAGTAATTACTGCGAAGATTATAATGAGGCCTCGCATTTTGAGGAATAGGCCGTGTTAAGAGTTTCCTATAATGAATTAAAAAATTCCGATTATGAAAAATCTTATGTTTGAAGCAAATATAATATTTCTGCAAAACGCCTGGGTTATGATTTTGAGTTGACTGTGAGCTAAAAGGTGCTTGGACCAAATTTAAGCAAGCAGGATACTTTGTAACCAGTAATTTATCACTAGCAGGGAAGCATTGCCTAAGTTCTGCACGAGAGACAGCGCCACCCAAAGCGCAAGGAGTGATAACTCTAAGCTTCGTGCGCGTTACAGTGTATCGTGGGATTCATAGTCAACTCTAACGTGCGTGCGGAGAACCTGCATTATACTACAAAGCCCTCACCGCCGAAACTCGCCGCGATAGTTATTAGATAGAAGCAAACATGGAACCATTATCTGCTTGCTCAAAGAGAAAAAGTACCTCTGGCCACTATTTCAATTGAAACAAAAGGTGGATATTACATAAAGATCGGTTCATAATTATACGATCCATATATTGTCGTTTGCACTTCTGAAAGAATTGCAAGAAATCATTGGTACCAGCGTAGCCGAAAACAGTATACACAGCATAAAAATGAGATTCGGTGTCAATCTTAAAGAAGCATTGTGCGCCCAACGTTTTCTCGGCAGGTTCACAACTATACGAGCACCTCAATTATAGCTAATTTTTTCTCTTAACGATGCAACCTAGGGGGTTTGAACTTTTATGTAAATCTAAAATCTCAAAGTCTGAGATGAATACTACGCGCCGAACGTAATAATGTTTGAAAAGGAGATCTTTACTTCACTTTTATAGATCAAAATGGCCTCAAAGCATGTCGGATCTAAAAACGCCTGCTTTGTCAAAATTTCAAGCCCTTATTCAGCTACGCGGCTAAAAAATAAGCAATCAGTAAATGTGCTGCTCAGCGCTTAAAAAATATTGATATAGTCGTTCCAGTTGCCAACTCAGCCCCAAGCTCACTATAGGGTTGGCACACTTTTCAGCCTTAAAATTCGACTTCTGCCGTCCGCAAAGCTTTGTAATGATGTAATGCATCATCTGTATGATTACACATAATTGATAATGTTTCTGAACTCCCTGCAATGCCATTCTCAAAGTGCTAGAGCTAAAAAACAAGATAAGGCATGCTTGCGCTGATTTGTATTTGTTTTCATTGAATGACGAATGCTTGATGGAAACAAGGTCTCTACAGATGAATTTTTTCAACAAAACATGAAATTTTGTACGCCGTATACGTATAAAATATATGCCTTACAAAATCAAATGTGCCATGTGCTTACAACATCACAGAGCTTGCGGACGGCAGAAGTGGAGTTTTGAGGCTTAAAAGTGTACCGACCTTATGGCGAGTTAGGGACTGCGTTGGTAACTGGGTCACATCAATATTTTCTGAGCGCTGAGCAGAATATTCATTGATTTCTTATTTTTTTAGCCGTATGAGCTAAGTAAAGGTTTGAAATTCGATAAAGCAGGCATTTTTGGAGCCAACATGTTTTGAGGCCATTTTGAGCTATGAAAGTGAAGTAAAAATCTCCTTTTCAAGCATTATTACGTTCGGCGCGTAGTAGTAATCTCAGACTTTGAGATCTTAGATTTGCATGAAAGTTCAAACCCCATGGGTTGCATCGTTAAGAAAAAAATAGCTGTGATTGAGGTGTTCGTATAATTATGAACCTGGCAAGAAAGCGTTGGGCGCGCAATGCTTCTTTAAGATTGTCACGAATCTCATTTTTATGCTGTGTATCCTGGTATCAATGATTTCTTGCATTCCTTTCAGGAAGTGCCGGAAATGACAATATATGGGGTGTTCGAATCAGGATGAATCCATCTTTAAGGACAATGTTGAAACTTATTTTTGTTAAATGATGATAAATTATCGAAACGTGCAAGCGAAGGAGACATAGATAAATCATTAGTTTTACAGAAGGGAATGGATAGACATTTAAATTGTTGCCTATTGAGTTTGAGGAATACTAAATACATTTTATAGCAAATCGAGCTGACCGAAGATACCATTAGTTTGCTGCAGCCTGTTAGATCTATTAGGTCGGTGCAAAAGTTTCGTCAGTTTTTTTCAATCCATCGGCAAACACGTTAGAATGAAGATAAGCTAACATTTCAAAATATATCCGATGCAGAATTTCTTCCTCTTTCCAGGTGTTAAAATATCATTGTGTTTCGTTGCGAGAATGACGAAATACTTGCTGGAAATTACAACCACTTGTTTTTACCATCTCTAACTTTCGCTATTTTTCAGAATTTTTGTATGAGACTTTGTGAGAAGGCACAATAACCAGCAGATAGGGCAGACCTTTTGTCAACAGAAGCAATTCTTTTCTTTCTTCAGCTGCTTTTTCAAACTTTTGTTAAGTAATTTTCTAAAAGTCTTGTGTTATGGAGAAAACGCATAACCTGTTATTGCACCAAACACTGCAAAACCTGCAGAATACTGAGGGTTCAACACTCGATTATTACTATCGCTACCATTACACAGTACATGAGCGATTTTCGCTTCAAATCATGAAGATTTTGAAACGTAGGATACGTCAGTGCACACTCCTGAAATTGAGAAATACTGCGATTTTCCCCCACAAATTTCGCCTTTCCCGGCAAAAAAGACAAGTATCAAAAGGAGGAGAAAAAGTTACATCGAATGGTAACTGAAGCGTTTAACATTTTGTGTTTTACAAACTTGAAATAGGCTGAATGTAAAATTAGGTTACTTCAAAAAATAAATCGTAGAAATTCTGAAAGACAAGCCATAGAGCTACAAAAAATTGCTTCTGTTGGCAAAAGGTTTGCCCTATCTGTTGGTTATTTGGGCTCCTCCGAAATTCTCATATAAAAATTTTGAAAATTAGCGAAAGTTGGACATGGTAAAAACAGGTGGTTGTAATTTCCAGCAAGTCTCGTCACTCTCGCAACGAAACACAATGATAGTTTGGCAGCTGGAAAGAGGAAGAAATTCTGCATCGGATACATTTTGAAGTGTTAGCTTATCTTCATTCTGTTTGCCGATGGATCGAAAAAACTGACAAAACTTTTGCACCGGCCTAATATATTGTTGATTACGTCATGACATCTGCATATATTGATTGGGCGCAAAGGTTTGTCTTTTCCTTGAAGTTGTAAAGCTATGATTTTTGATAATTCGTACTACATCTTCTTATATGTTATAAAGGGTGTCCCAAAAATATGCCTACTGTTTGGTTGTTAAAAACTCTCTTGTCTCAAAATCTTTCGAGAAGGTTTACAGTGTGCGACAGAATTATTTGCGCGTGACTGGTTGCGCGCAACACGCAGATATATTCCAGAGAATCTTCTGCTTCTTCATAAAAAAAATGTTCCTGTGATGCAAGGAACACACCACATGATAAAGCAAGTTCTCGGCTGCAACATAAAGCTTGCTTCATGACGAAGGCGCAGAAGCGATGTTAGTTGAGCGGGCGCGAATGCGACGCGCGCGTATCTTCACCGTTGTAAATCCTGCGCCTCTTGTGCTCTGCTGCTAATAAAGCCGCGTTCGCGCCCGAAGGTGTTGCGCTTTCGTCATGCAGCAGCCTATACTGTAAGCGCAAATCTAGGATGATCTGACAAGAAAATTATCGGCGTTTTAAAAAAGTCATGTGTTTGCCACATGCTCAAAAACAGCACATTTTAGGGGTACGAATGAGCAAAAGAAAAGCAGAAATGGACTCAAAATTAGGTTAGAGATCAATTTCATTGTGGAAAGGAAATGAGTACTTATCTAGAAGCTTTGTCGAAGCACTATGTAACATTGAATCCGGTGACAGATACGTACACATGTCATTTGAAAACAAAATGGCCACTGACACGCGGGTGGCATTTGCGTACTTTTATCGCTTTTAAAAAAATAATTGTTTTCGAACGCAAGTGCTACGATCCTAGCATCCTTTTAAGTGTGGACAAAAAATTCCTCGAAATTGTCTCAAAAGTCTCCAGTTACGGAATGAATCATAACGAGGGCTCAGCGTGGAGGCGCGCCCGACCTGGCGGGTCGTATAGAAGGTAAGGGCAAGGGGGGGGGGTTGTGATCAAAAGGCAAATTTGTTCAGAAAAAATTTGAGAAAATACTACGATTGAGTAAGGTGAAGAAGAAAAACGCGCAAAGATTTCACAACTCCACTGAAGGAATGACTGTCGTGAACAGCATGCTGATTAACTCGACTAACGAAGTCTCAGGCAAATTGCAAATTTTGTACCTTACACATATCGTAAGGTCACCAAAGAAGCTCTTCATGTAAATTGGGTATGATTCCGTGATCAGCACGCCAAATTACGTCAACAAGCTCTACACACCACTACTTATTACATTTTTCAGTGTTTCCTAATGGCTAAAAAGCATGGTTTTCAAACTTGATTAACTTGGTTAGAAAAAAGTAGAAAAAATTAGCTTTATGTACGTATTCATAACGAAGTATCCCTCTTTGTCAGTCTATGGTAGAAATTGGACTTCATATCGCTTTCGAATAATGGATTAAGAAGTGCTGCCAAAATGTCAGTCACCGCGTTTTCTACCTCGAGTGCTTCACATCACCACAAAGCATAAGTTTTCCAAAATTTTTACATAAAAGCTGTTCTACACATAAAATTTAGTATAAAGCAACATTTTGGTTCCGAAACTCCTCCCCTCCTTACTAAAATCCAAGAAAGCAACGACGCCGGTTCATTCGAGGTAGAAAGCGCGCTTCAATCGAACGACCTATGCAGCTGGCGGGATCAAGTAGGAACGTAAAAATCGACAGAGTCAAAGGCGAGTCGTTTCAGCAATGTCCATTTGCCACCCTCGTGCCGTCCCTGTTCCAAGCGATCTGTGCAGAGCCTTGTTTCCATATACGCTTTCTTTCTATGGTAATGTGTCAAATAAACTCTGGCCGTTGTCCTTGATGCCTTACTGTCCAATACGGATTTGTACAGCAGAGCAACTATCCTTATGATACACATATTTGTTACCAAGCTTACTTCTCTAAGGGTTGGGCCACGCCCGCGTACGCG